GTTGTGGGACATGCAGCATGGGGCAGAGGTGGTCCCTGACTGAAAGGGGTTCCCTTTGAAGCACAGAAACCACAGGAACCTCATGGTACTTCTAAGGGTGGCAGGAGCACAGCATAGTGAGAGGACAATTGCTGACCCTGGGACTTCTGCTGCCCTCCTGTGGGAAGGCCCATGCACTTCTCTGCTGTTTCTTTCTTTTCTTTGTTCGAATTCGTTATACATGACAGCAGAATGCATTTTGATTTATAGTACACAAATGGAGCACAATTTTTCATTTCTCTGGTTGTACACAATGTAGTGTCACACCATATGTGCAGTCATACATGTATCTAGGGTAATGATGTCTGTCTCAGTCCACCATCTTTCCTACCCCCATGCTCCCTCCCTTCCCTTCCCTCCCCTTTGCCCTATCCAAAGTTCCTCCATTCCTCCCATGCCCCCACCCCCATTATGGATCAGCATCCACATATCAGAGAAGACATTCAGCCTTTCGGGGGGGAGGGATTGGCTTACTTCACTTAGCATGATATTCTCCAACTCCATCTATATACCTGCAAATGCCATGAGTTTATTCTCTTTTAATATTGAGTAATATTCCATAGTGTATATATACCACAGTTTCTTATCTATTCATCCACTGAAGGACATCTATGTTGGTTTCACAGTTTAGCTATTGTGAATTGTGCTGTTATAAACATTGATATGGCTGTGTCACTGTAGTATGCTGTCTTTGGTGAAGAGAGAGCCTACAGAATGGGAGGAAATTTTTTTTTTAAAGAGAGAGGGGGGAATTTTTTAATATTTATTTTTTAGTTTTTGGTGGACACAACATCTTTATGTTATTTTTATTTGGTGCAGAGGATCGAACCCAGCACCCTGCGCATGCCAGGTGAGTGTGCTACCGCTTGAGCCACATCCCCAGCCCGGGAGGAAGTTTTTACCACACACATCAGATAGAGCACTAATCTCCAGGATATATAAAGAACTCAAAAAATTTAACATCAAAAACAAACAAACAAACAAACAAACAACCCAACCAATAAAAAGGCTAAGGAACTGAACAGACACTTCTCAGAAGAAGAAATACAAATGACCAACAAATATATGAAAAAATGTTCAACGTCTCTAGTAATTAGAGAAATGAAAATCAAAACTACTCTAAGATTTCATCTCACTCCAGTCAGAATGGCTGTTATCAAGAATACAAACAACAATAAGTGTTGGCGAGGATGTGGGGGAAAAATTCACTCACACATTGCTCGTGGGACTGCAAAATGGTGCAGCCAATCTGGAAAGCAGTATGGAGATCCTTAGAAAACGTGGAATGGAACCACCATTTGACCCAGCTATCCCACTCCTTGGTCTGGAACCAAAGGAGTTAAAGAAAGCATACTACTCTGCTGTTTCTTTGGGGGCAGCTCCAGTGAGAGCTGCCGAAACTCCGGGATATGGCTTCTGTCATGTCCTGTGCCATGGGTGAAGCCCGTGGAATGACTGAGCCACTATCCCTGAGGCAAGAATGGAAGCTTCTCTCACTAAGGGCACAGAAGTCACACAGAGTGGCTGGACATGCACTCCTCTTTCAGGTAAAGACACCCTGGCGGCCTCCTGGGACAGCAACTGCATAGGGACAGGCCACAGGCAGGAAGGCTGAGCAGCAGACCCATCATTGCAGGCCATGGCCTGTGAGAGGAGCAGGATCATGGCATTCGGTACAAGAGCTGCCTGTGGTTGGAAGGTTGCCTTTGGGGCACCACTGGGAGGGTGGCAGCTCACAGGTACCTGCCATATGACTGCAGCCTGATTTCACACCTGCTACACCACCCCCCAACGTAGCCTGAACTTCGTGGGCAAAGACAGTGTCTGGGCTCTTCCCCATGGTTGCCCTATTAAGTGGCCAGCATGGAGCAGGCCCTAGACCACTGATGCTAACTGCTATAGAAACCAGAAATTCCTACAGGAGTTGCCCCTTGAAAACAACCCAGATGACCCTTGCAGACTTGTTGTATTGAAAGGGGCAAACATTTGTTCACCTAGCAAATGATTATCAAGCCATTTTTAAGCCCTGGGGATGCAGGAAAGAAAAACTAGACAGTGCTTCCCCTCCTGGAGCATTCTCCTGAGAGACAAAGACGGGCACCTCAAGTGCAGGCAGGGTGCTGGCAGGTGTGGTGCTCCAGGCAGGGTGGACAAGGGTGAGGCCAGGAGGAACACACCTGCAAGGCCCCAGGCTCTGCAGGGCAGAGTGTCCCTCAGTGTCCTCCTGGTCCAGGAGCCCCTGGGCCAAGACACCAATCTGGAGAGCCTGGGTCAGGAGGACAAACTCTCCCAGGCAGGAAGGCTGCGTGAGATCTCTGCAGAGATCAGGTGTTGGAGGAAGGGTGGGGAAGGGAGAGGCCCAAGGGTGACATGAGGACTTTTGTTTTTGTTTTGAAATCTGGATTGAGGTGCACATACTATGTTGTTTCCATCAATATATGAGCATTCTGCTGCCGCAGTCTGGCTGGGCACAAATCACAAGCCACTCAAGCAGGAACAAACTTTATTTCCGAACTCCACCAGCACACTCCCTGGGAACTCTCCCGAACGCCACCCACGCGGCTCCTCCAGGAACACACCACACACCAACCGGAACTCCCTCCCCCGGGCTGCGCGCGCACTCACTCTCGGAAACCGGGAGAACTCAAGGGGAACTCCAAAGTAGCGGGGCGCCCGACGCAAGAGCCATCCTATTACCAGACAGTAAAGGTCTAATATACAATTGAATCAATCCAGCATCATCTTAATGGCTCGCCTCTCAACCATTACTTCTGGCGAAGTGCCAGGGGCCATTCCGACTCGGCTGTGGCTCTCAACATTCTGCCAAACCTCAAACTTTTTCTGGAGTGTAGTTGACATGGCCTTTTGGTATCCTATAATATGGATTCACTGTAATGGGCTTACCCAGACCTCCCTCTTTGGATTTTTAGACCAACATCAGGCATGTGGTAAAACATGAGTGCATCCCCTTAAAATGGTCAGCTAACCCTTAAGACACCGGTGAGAGTGATGGGGCGGAGGTCACCTTGCCTTTGTGAATAGAACCCGGTAGTAACCTGAGAAAAACGCAAGAGGTGACCTGGCAAAGTGCTGAAGCTAGTCAGTTAAGGATGCTGTCTGTCACAAGGCGGGGAAGGGTCCCTCCCAAACCACAAACAAGACAGCAAGACACCTAGCCTGGCAGTCGTGAGTCCATGCTGCCATAACCAAGTGCCACAGCCAGCGGCTGACACACAACAGGATCATGTGTTTCAGTTCTGGAGGTGGCATGTCCAAGACCATGGTTCACTATTATCACCTTGGTGCTGAGGATGGAACCCAGAGCCCCATGCATGCTAGATGAGCTGTCTACCACACCCCAGTCCTGGAAGTTCAAGATCAAAGTTCCGTCAGATGAAGTGTCTGGACACTAATTCCAGTAATGAGGGATTCCCAATGGCTCCGCCTCCTATCACCACCATGAGGGGTAGGATTTCAGTATGAATTCGGGGGACACATTCAGTCCGTATCTCAGAGATAGTGAGTAGGCCCAATGTCCATCCTTTCATCTTCCCTGGGCACAGAACTCCCAATGAGGGGTGGGGCACAGGATCCCCCAGAAGGGAGACCATCTTTCCCTACTTTCACCAGCATCTGCAAGGACCTGTGATGGGTCACGAAGCAAATTCAAATGCAGGGCTGGTAACACCACGCTCTCTGTGGGGAGACCGAGGGAGTGCCCAGCACCCCCAGCAACTTATGAGGTTCAACGAGACAATGCAGGGGGCTCTGGAGCCATGCTAGCGTTCACCTGGGAAGGCCTGTGTCTTCTCACCATTCAGGCAGTGCCACTGCCTGCCCACCTGCCCACCTGCCCACCTCATGGCTCCCAAGTCAGGTCGGAAGCACCTGAGCTGGTGCTTGCAGGTGCTCCCAAGACCCCTCCATTGTCATGAATGTCGTGTCACCATCAGTGCTGCTGGCACACTTTGGAAGAAGAGGGGGCATTGTCCCTGCAGATGTGTAAGTGTCTCACAGAACAACTGAAGCCATGAGGTGTCTTTCCAGGTGTCTGAGAAGTGTGAACAGTGTGGACAAGCATGGAGGTATGGACAGAGGGAGGCCTGTGAGCCTCTGGGGAGGCACAGATTCTTCTAAAAGCTGATTTGCACAAAACCACAGCATGAAACCCAGATGTGTGACTAGTGAATACAAAAGGTGTCAAGTAGGAGGAGGCTGCCTTTGGCTGTGTGGGAAATGGGAATAGACATGTTGAGAGAAATCTCTGGTTGCTGACCCACGAGTTGTCCACTTGACGATGTCAAACATGTCTGCAGTGAAAACTCCACCATTGGCAAGGTTAAAAGGCAAGTTGGGGGAAAATCTTCCCAGCACATTTCACCGGCCAGCATTTCTGCCAGTGATGCATCCGGCCCCTACAAACGCAGAAAATGCCACCCCCAAAGACCTGCACTCAGAGACAGGCAGGACATGGCCAACCGGAGGGGAATCACGGTAGAAGTCAGTCCCACTGGAGACCCATTTCCCCTGTCAGATTCCCTGCTGGAACACAGTGTTGGTGCACTGTGGGGGGTGGCCTGGGATTTCTCAGGTTCCCTGCCCTGCGGCAACACGTGTGGGTGATTCCTACATTCAGACCAGTCCTGCCCCTCAGAGTGGAAGCTTGAAATCAACTCCAGGGATTTGAAGTGGAGCATAGTTAGGTCAGCCATGATGGAACCTGATAAAACATTCTACAGTTACTGACACAGTAAGTGCAACAGGCTGTGGTGGTGCACGCCTGTCATCCCAGCTGTTGGGGAGGCTGTGGTAGGAAGATTGCAAATTCAAGGTCAGCCTGGGCAACTTAGCAAGACCCGTTTCAGAATAAAATATTAAGGGCTAAAGATGTCGCTCAGTAGAGCTCTTGCCCAGTATGTGCAAGGCCCCCCAAGAAATAAAGTTGAAAACTTGCCAAAAACTGCAGGCATGACATGACTCTATTTGTTGAAAACAGAATGGCTGTGTAAATGCATGCATGTACAAAATATTGTTTACATGTAAGTGATTATGCAGGTCAAATACCTATTTTCATAAATATCCACAGCAGGGGCTGGGGATGTGGCTCAAGCGGTAGCGCGCTCGCCTGGCATGCGTGCAGCCCGGGTTCGATCCTCAGCACCACATACAAAACAAAGATGTTGTGTCTGCCGAAAACAAAAATAAATAAATAAATAAATAAATAAATATCCACAGCACAGGAATTAACCCAAATTGAAAAAAAAAAAATTCTCTCTGTGTGGTAGGAATTTAGTTATTTCATTCTTCTTATCTATCTTTCATGTTTTCTTCTATAATGAAATGTACTAATTGTGCAGGGAAAATAATGCATGCTCTGTGGTTGCACATCAGGATTGACTGTGGCCAAAGGGAATGCTGGGCACCCTCTGGCTGGGCCTTTGCCCAAGCCTGGAGAAAGGAAATGAACAAAGGCAGGCCTCAGCCCTCCCCCTTTAACCAAGGACCAGCTCTGTAGAAATACTGTTTAGCTAGGTGACAATCTTAATAGCAAGGGGAATTATACAAATCTGGAAACCATTAAAAAACCCCAGTGGGAAACACTTAGAGGAGTGGCAGAAGATTCACCAAACAGTAAATGAGACGGTTTTCTCTGTTGTCATGACGATGGGGAACTGTAAGTGTAAACAAGATCAGGGTTTCACCTATCTCCTTAGTACAGACAGGTCCTAACAGGGCCTGCTACCATCTTGCTTCCCAGTGAGTTTTCAGTTTGTGACCTCAAGTCCCTCTCCAAGTAGGAGAGGTTCTGGTCTGGCTCTCTTGCCCTGCACCTGGGGTGAGGAGACCTGGAGCAGACCTTGCAGTGGCTTGGCAGTGGTCATTGGCACCCTGCCACAGGAGCACATGAACAGGTGTCAGCTCAAATGGCAAAACTTGGGTAAAGGAATGTCTGATGATGGAGAAGTGACAATAGCAGTCAGGTCATGTCCTCCTCCTGGGGATATGAAGTAGCCAGCAAAGGGAATGCTCATGAAGCACTGAAAACAAGGGAGACCAAGGGTATGTCACTATGTGAAACATCAGGAGATAGGAGCAGTGTGAGAAGGAGAACCGACAAGCAGTCCTGATAGGCCGTCCACGGTGGTCATCCTGGACCCTAACATTAAGAGGGGACCCTGTGTTCAGACTCTAATGCTTCTCTGTATCTCCCACAGTGGAAATAATGTCACAATAACTGAGAACATAGGTTAAATATCAGGAAATTCTAAGGCCCCAACACTGTACAGAAACCAACCAATGATATTCATAGGTAATTCACAAGTCACAATACCACTGACAACATGTATAAACCATGTTCAACTCATTGCCACTAGAGTAATTGTGGGAATAATTTATGGTTTTTCTTAATTTTTATATAGATTTACAATTAGCAAAAATGATTCTAGCAATCTGAGAGTAACATTATTTTTTGAATCAAAGAAAGTCAGGCCATTTCTTAGTCCATTACTGCTCTTGTAACAAAAACCTTAGCCTGGATAATTTATAAATTATGGAATTTTTTTCTTACAGTTCTGGAGGCCAGGAAAGTCCATGATCAAGGTGCCCCAGATTTAGGGTTTCTCTACTTCACAGGTGGCACCTCTTGCTGTGTCCTTGTGTTGGAAAGGGCAGCCTCCTTCCCAAGGAAGCTAACCCACTCACTAGGACAGCTCCATCACTTCCCCAAAGGCTCCATCTCCTAATACCATCATACCAGGGATCAGGGTCCAACATGGATTCTGGAAGTCCCTGACCCTCAGATCACAACAGGCCAGATGGAGAGGGGCCTTAACTACCAAAGTCTCATCTGGAGCAAGCAAAAAGAAGTGGGAAGGACTCTAGTTTTTTTTGTTTGTTTGTATGTGTGTGTGCAGTGTACTGGGGATGGAACCCAGGGCCTTATGTGTGCAAGGCAAGCACTCTACCAACTGAGCTATATCCCCAGCCTAGGACTCAGGTTTTTGAGGACATTCTTTAAAAGAACATTTTTGTGAGGGAGAGAAAACCTGCAGGAAGGGCCAACCCTCCCTTGTCCTGGAGTGGGCCCAGCCAGCATGCAATAGAGAGGAAGGACAGGGGAGGGCAGGGAAGGAAGATTTGGCAAAACTTGGTGACCTCATGGGCTGGCGAAGGGGACGAGAGAGGAGGAAGGGTGCAGTGGTGCATGCCTCTAATTCTAGCAACTCAGGAGACTGAGACAGGAGGATCACAAGTTCCAGGCCAGCCTGGACAACTTAGCAAGGCCCTGTCTCAAAAAAAGAAAAGAAAAGAAAAAAGATAAGAAAGGACTGGGGATGTAGCTCAGTGGTAGAGCACTGAGTACTTCTGGGTTCAATCCCCTGCACCACAAACACCAACAATAACAGCCAAAACACTGCTCAGGTTTGGAAACAGAGCCCCTCAGGGGAAAGAGGGGACACCACTGCAGAGGACACTGACTCCCGTGTGGATGTTTCCCAGGCCCTGGAAGCTAAGGGCCACCCGTGCACATTTGCTAAGGGGCAACTTTAATTGCAGTGGGAGGAAATGAACTGGGGGCACATAGAGGGACAGCTATGCAGGGAGAGCTGCCTGGCAGGAGGGAAGGAGCACGCTCTGGGAGAGCCTCAAGGAGGGCTCAGGTTCTCTCAAGCAGGAAGAAAGCTCACCCCAGTCACAGGTGACCAATGTGGATGCCTTCCCCTATTGAGTGGGAGGTCACATGTGTGTACCCAACTTTAAATTTCGCAATAGGCTGGAAGTTTGCAAAAATAGGTTCAGCTATTCTACTGACTCCCAGTGGAGTCTTGAAATACTGTGTGCTTTTGTCAAGCTCATTGAGCAGTACTTAGAAAATATGAGCATTTGACTACATTACAGGCTTAATTGGTCCCCCCAAAACTTACATTGAAATCCCAATGCCGAGGACCTCATAATGTGCCTGCATTTGGAGATAGAGCTTTTAACAGATGATTAAGCCAGGCATGGAGGCACCCACCTGCATTTCAGCAATTCAGGAGGCTGAGGCAGGAGAATCAGTTTAAGGCCAGCTTGGACAACTTAGTTGAGAACCTAAGCAATTTAGCAAGACCCTGTCTCAAAAAAAAAAAAAAAAAAAAAAAAATAAGGCCAGGTGTAGTTGTGCATACCCGTACTCCTAGTGGCTTGGGAAGCTGAGGCAGGAAGATTGCAAGTTCAAAGCCAGCCTCAGCACTGGCAAGGTGCTAAGAAACTCAGTGAGATCCTGTCTCTAAATAAAATAAGGGCTGGGGATGTGGCTCAGTTGTTAAGTGCTCTTGGGTTCAATCCCTGGTACCAAAAATATTTAAAAATAAAAATAAAAAGGGCTGGGGCTGTGGCTCAGAGGTAAAGCACCTTGGGTTCAGTCCCTGTACCAAAATAAATAGATGCATAATGTAAAACGAGGCCACTATGATGAATGTCCTTATGAGAAAACAGGACCAGGACTCAGACACACACAAGGAGGCCCATGGGAGGACAGGGAGAAGGTGGCTGTCTATAACCCAAGGAGAGAGGCCTCAGGGTGACCAGCCCTGCCCACACCTTTGACCCCAGGCTCCAGCCTACAGACCATGACAGAATAAATTTTTGTTCGAGCCACCTAGTCGTGTCCCGGGGGATGCCTGAGGACAGCAATCAGAGGCTGATGGCGGATAGGGGGATGGAGAGAGGAGAGGAGTGGGTAAGAGCAATGGGATGAGTGCTCCCTGCAGAATATGTGCCTGCGGAGAGGCTCACAGTGCCACGCCTTCAACTCTGCTGTATGCTTGACATTTTCCCATAGCAGAGTGTCAAGAGGCCTTCTTTTTTATTTTATTTTTTTGGATCAAACCCAGGCCTTGCACATGCGAGGCAAGCACTCTACCACTGAGCCACAGCCCCAGCCCCTGGAGGCCTTCTTTTTTAAAAAATATTTTTTTAGTTGTTGATAGACCTTTATTTATTTGCGGTGCTAAGAATCAAACCCAGTGCCTCACACATGCCATGCAAGTGCACTACTGCTGAGCCCCGGCCCGGACCCTCAGGAGGCCTTCTTGCTGGCATGCAGGGCCCCAGCTCCAGGCTGTGCTTTCCCTCTCCCGGAAGTGCTGGGAAGCAGGTGCCTGGCAGAGGGAAAGGATGTGCCAAGGCAGAGTGAGAACAAGCACCTGCTTGCTCTCTCTGCCAGCCCAGGAAAGCAGGTAAGCCAGGCCCTCCCACTACCTTTATGGAGGGGGTGAGGGGAGCCTGACATTACAAGATGGAAGGCAGCAGGGAGGGGGCTGCTTGGATCCCTCAGCCTTGGCAGGAGGAGCCATGCTCAGCTCATCCCTGCTGCGCTGCCTGCTCTCCAGCCCTTCCTGACTGGCCTGTGTCTTCCCCTGACTCACTGGGGTCATCTGAGGCACAGAGACACCTGCGGCCACATGTTCTGTGAGGAGGTCCAGAGGACCTTGGTCCTTAGCCCCAGGGACCCTGCCTGAGGTCGTCCTGTACAGGAACCAGGTGCTTCTGTGGGTGCCCACTCAAGTCTTCCAGAGCCTTGTGCGATGGCTGGTGGGCCCTTGGGGCTAGGGGACAGGGCAACACCTGAGGCCCTGATACATATTGATTTGTCCTCCTCCCAGCTTCCCTTCTTTCCTTTTCTTTTACACATGATAATTCCTCCCTTGCTAGCTTGTAATGGCCAACCTTTGGCTCCCTTGCCCACCTGGATGCACCCCCAGGTGAATGTTTGATGGTCAGATGAGGAGGTGACTTTCTCAAGCTATTGGAACCAGAGAAAGGCTCTGTCCCAAAAAAGCAGGAGCTCACATACTCCCCCAGAACAAGACTGCCTGTGTCTCAGAACGTTCCTGATGCCCCAAGTTCAGGGACTTTTCATTGGAGTTTCAGCCTAGAAGGAGCTGTCAAAAAGGCTCAGGATGTCCTTCTCTCGTCCAGGGAGCTGTTGGCCAGGAAGGTGACATCTGAGCAGCTGACCCACTGCCCAAAGGAATCTTTTTCCTGCCTCTTGTCTACACGGAAGCATGAGGCTGTGCACACTCAGAAAGGGGAACTCTGGTCCTTGACTTCTAAAGTGGACAGTGGACTGGAGCCCAAGTCTCACCTAACAGGGAAGGGGTAGATACAGGAATGGGGGTCTGTGTCCCAAGCCACCCAGTAGACAGCACTGCCCCTTGCTGCGCAGTATTTGTTTCCTTGTTGTGCACAGGAGGAAAGGAAACTTGCAGAAAGTAAAGGACTTACCCATGGCCCTGCAGCAGGCAGGAAGGCTGCCCTGCCTTCAGGGTTCTGCCCTGATTCCCCTTGGACATGAGGACCTGTAGTATTATCAAGTGACCCAGGCTGACTGGAGTCAGGTGTGGTTGGTGACAACCGCAGAAACAGCTGCCTGGCAAGAAGTTTCTTGCTCATGATTTTTAGAGGAGCCTGTTGGGTGGGCATGGCCATGTGGCGAAGCCCTAGGCCAGCTAGCAAAGAGAGGGGCAAGGGGAGGTATGGGTGAGAGTCTTGCTATGGGTGCCCAGGTGAGGCAGGGCAGGGCAGGCCAACCACGGAGGCCAAGCAAGGGCATTTCAGGGCTCTGGGCTCTGGGTGGCACCCAGTGTCTGGGCCTTAGCCCTGGGATGATTTAGGGCAGGGGCCATGTCCTGGCTGCAGGAGCCTGATGAAAGAGTCCAGTGGGTATGGACTCAAATGGTTAGTCTGTACATCCAAGGCACCTTGCAGGCAAGTGGTCTGTTGTCTCTAGGACTTAGCTAGCCTGGGGGTGGTTCCTCCCTGATTCTAGGAGACCCCAACATGTCAACATGTAATAGGGTCCACTTTATGCTTTGAACCTAAGCATTGCAACTTTGAACCTAACCACTTCAACTTATTTTAAAATGCACATGTTTCCTTCTCTTCCTCTCTCCCTGCTCTTCCCTAATCTCCCCCTCCCTAATCTCAGGGGAAACAGGATTACCTCTCTTCCCCCTCCTAGGCAGAGCTTATCTGTCCTTGAGCACACACCCACCACAGGAAGGAAGTAATCCAGACTTTGGGGATGGCACCAGAAGATCTTAGAAAGGACTCTCTCCCAAGTGAACAAGTGAATCACAACTACAACAGAGAACAAGTGGAATGTAGCCTTTGAGTCACCTCTTTAAAAATCCCCTGCTCCTGCTGATGGGCAATATTGGCATCAGATTCACCATTTCAAATCAGAGTCGTTTTATCTAGAAGTTCCAAAGTTTTGATTCTGAGGCAGTGCTGTTTAACTTCCATAAGAATATGTGCCTGTGAAATGATCACCCCCACCCCAGCCCCCTGCTCCTGCTGACAGGCAGAATCACAGCCTCTTGGACAGGAGTCCCCCGTGTTTCTCCTTTGCTGACAACGCAATAAACTTTCTTCTTCCTTTTTCTCAATACTGTGTCCCCATTATTGGTTGATATCAGGGACAAGGACCGAGCTTTCACCAACACACACATGTGACTTTTAGAAAGTAAAGAGCATGATGACTCCCAAAAGCCATCAGAAGCAGGCAGTTCTGGGGCTCAGGTGCTCCCTCCAGGTCTAACTCTGCTGGCAGGCCCTGAACCAAGAACCTCTGGTTTGAGTTTCATGTTCAGCTTAGAAGAAAGCTGTTCCCTTGTTCCATTCTGACACCCCTGTTCCTTTCCAGCTCTGTGAATCCCCTTAGAGGAAGGTCTGTGCCTGAGCCTCAGCCTGGCCCACCCTGCTTCTGCTGTGTCCATCCAGGTTGGTGAAGAAGAAACCCAGCCCTACCCTGCACTCAGAGTGTGATGATCACTGAGCCTTCTGGCTTCCCCTTCTGTGAGGTGCCGGTGAGTGTCCTTCCTGTAGTACTGAGAAGAGGCTCAGGAGCACAGAGAAACTGCTCATGTTGGGTATCCACGTAGGGGCCTGGGGGTGTTGGCACCTTTGTCTCCTCATGCTGGGTTCAGGTCTGTCAGTCAGTCCTAAATGTTTATAAAGCTTCTCCTGCAAAGACATTCAGAGAAAGGGCAGAAAGGGGGTGAGAGGGGGAGCAGTGGCATGCCCAGCTCCGTCCCTCCTCTCCAGCTGCTCTGCCTTCAGGCCTCTGTCCTGGTTCCCCTTGCTTTTGGCAAGTCTTCCTCCAGCTTCCTTCTGCACTGTAGCAGGCAGTGTTATGCTTTCAAGGGCTCCCTCCCTCACCCTGACTGGGGAGCATCCCACTGACCTCATCTCCCAGGACTCTGCATTCTCCTCTGTGGAGCATCCAGGGCTATCAAGCATTTGTCAGTGATTGGGTGCTGATGCTTTCAATTACTTCCACAAACCCTCCTCTCTCCAGGAGGTGCAGCTTACTATGCACCCTTGATTCGGTTGGATCTAGTGATTTCAGAGTGCAGGTGTGGGGGAAGTGAGGGATGGCAGGTCACGGAGGTACTGCAGATCACTCACTCTGGGGATGGCCAGCTGCCATGTTGGGAAGATATTCAAGCAGCCATACAGAGGGCCCCACCTTAAGAAATGGAGGTCTCCCACCAGTAGCCATGTTCATGGGATTAAAAGGGGACTCTGCAGTTCCATACACATCCTCGGGGGCCTGGCTAACAAATTGACCACAGTCTCCAGACACCCTGCTACAGTTTGGATCTGGAGTGTCTTCCACAAGCCCATGTGCTGAAGGTTTGGTCACTGGCTATGACACCACCAGAGGTGGTAGGGAATTCAGGAGGTGGGGTTCAGTGGGAGGAGACTAGATCATGGGGGAATATCCTTGAAGGGGAAATTGGGACCCACCTCTTCTTCTCATTCTTTGCCCCCTGGCTGCTGTGAGTGAGCAGCTCTGCGCTACTACATGCTCCCTACCATGGGGTTCTGTCTTGCCACAGGACCAACAGCAACCGAGCCAACCAACCCTGGACTAAAACCTCTGAAACTGTGAGTCAAAATAAACCTTTTCCTCCTTTTTTTTAAAAAAAATATAGTTAATAGACCTTTTATTTTTATATATTTATTTATATGTGGTGCTGAGGATCAAACCCAGGGCCTCACACATGCCAGGCAAGTGCTCTACTGCTGAGTCACTACTCCAGCCCCCTTTCCTCCTTTCAAATTGATTTATCTCAGGTATTTGCCATAGTGACAGAAAGCAGACTGACACAGACCCTAAGTCAGAATCACTCAGTCAAGCACCTTCCAGGCCTCTGACTCCAGTAATTGTGTGCGATGATCCATGCTGATGCTGTAAGATGCTCAGTTTTGGAGTAACTTGTTTTGCAGCAACAGATAACTAATTTGCCAACAGATAACCAAGTTGGTGAGCCTGGCCTTGAACTTACAATTCTCTTTCCTCAGCTTCCTGAGTAGCTGGGATTACAGGCAGGTGCCACTGTACCTGGCCTGCATACGGCTTTAAAACATGTAAAACAATGGACAGATGGCCCTTCATGTCCATGAGTCTTTGGGTTCAACCAACTTCAGATGGAAAATATTTGGAAAAAAATTGCTTTGTATTGAATACTTACCAGCTTTTTTTTGGTCACTATTCCCTAAACAAAGTAATATAACAACTATTTACATATTATTTACATTGTAGTAGGTATTGCAAACAATCTAGAGATGGTTTGAATTACAGGGCTGGGGTTTAGTGGAAGTAGGTACTTAGAATATATGAGGCTCTGGGTTCACTGGCAGCTTCAGGAGGGAAAAGTTATCCACTGGAAATCTGAAATATTCACTTGTATTTGATTTTGTTAGTTTTGCAATTTTGTTTTTACTATTAGTCCTTAATGTCACTCACACTGCATTTTAAAACAAAGTAAGGTCGAGATTCCATTTACCCTTTCCTTTCCTTTCTTTTTCTTTCTTCTTCTTTTCTAATACCAGAGATTAAACCCAGGGGCACTTAACCACTGAAACACATCCCTAGACCTTTTTACTTTTTGTTTAGAGACAGGGTCTCACTAAGTTGCTCAAGGCCTCCCTAAGCTGCTGGGGCTGGTTTTGAACTTGCCATCCTGCTGCCTTGCCTCCTAATGGCTGGGATTACAGGCATTGGCCACTGGCCTGCGCCTGGTGTACGCGTTCCTTTTCCACTTGGAAATCCCAACACTATTGAAGAACCTATCTTTTCCTGATTTTCGGGCCCTATATTTCCTGTACACTTAGGCTTGTTTCAGGATTCTTAGATTTACTCCAATTGTCTCTCCACAAATACCATGTTGCCTTTGAGGTAGCTTTTAAATACAGAAGGGGAATTCTGCTTGAGCTTTTTACCCCCTCCCCACCTGCCTTCCTTCTTTCTGGATTTTTCCCCCCACTATTCTTGAGGATTATCTCTTCCAGATGACTTTAGGATCAGCTTATCAAGTTTTTTGAAAAATCCTGTTGACATTTCTATTGGGATCAAACTTACTGGTGAAGAATATACGTTTTTACAACGTTACTTCTATCTGGTAATGGATGTTTTTCTGATTCAGTTTGAGCTCCGGTCATGCCCTGCAATCAAGGTTTGGAGTTTTCAAAAACGTGGTCTCACATTTATTTTCAGGCTTCCTCTAAGAGATCCCTGGGTGTCCAGAAGACTGTGAGCAGCATCTGCAGACGTTTGAGGGCTGCGCAGGTAGTAGGGTGCCACTTGCTCAGATTCCACTTTGGGCGGGACCACCGAAAGGAGACTGTCACTGTCAAAAATTGGGGAGTCCTAGGGGGAACAGATAACAAGAGGCTGATGGTGCAGAGCGCAAGGCAAGAGTCTTCACCTGGCAGAGTCTTCACGTAGACGGGGGCGGCCTGGTCTCAGAAGGCGGCTTCTCCCGCCCCACCGTCGCCGGTGCGGTCCGGATCTCCGCCCAGTGCTCCAGTCCCGGCCCGGCCCCGCCAACAGTTCCTGGTCCTGTCCCAGGCCGCGATTACCGTTCCGGCCCCGCCCACCCTCCCTCAAGTCCCGCCCACAGCCCCTGGTCCAGTCCGAGGTCGCGCTCACCGCCAGGCCCCGCCCATCAATTCCGCCCACAGCCCTGGTCCTGTCCGAAGTCGCGCTCACTGCCCCGGCCCCGCCCACCATTCCCGCAAAACCTCCGCCACAGACTCTAGTCCTTTCCGAAGTCCGGCTAACTGCCCGAGCCCCACTCACCGCCCCGGCCCCGCCCACCCACATACAAGTCCCGCCCACAGCCAGGGTGCCGGGCCGGGCCGGGCCCCGCCCCGCCCCGCGCGCCCCGCCCCGCCCCGCGCGCCCCGCCCCGCCCCGCGCGCCCCGCCCCGCCCCGCGCGCCCCGCCCCGCCCCGCGCGCTCCGCCCCGCCCCGCGCGCTCCGGAGGCCTGCTAGCCTGCTGTGTAGAGGTCCGGTGGCCGCGTCCCGCTCGGAGGTCGTCGGTTCGAGTCCTTGTTCGCGCAGCGGCTCCGGTGCCTGTCCTGATCCCGCGGCCGCTGCCGTTGCGAGCAGCGCAGCCCGGCGCTCGTGGCGAATCTGCCGCCGCGAATCGGAGGGCCCGGCGCCGGCGGCCTCGCGAGAGTGCGGCGCGCACGGACGCGGGCGGCAGGCCTGGCGGGCTGAGGGCCGCGGGCTGAGGGCCGGGCGGCTCGGGCGGGCGGGCCGGGCCGGGTTGGGCCGGGCCCCGCGGCCGCACCATGACGGGCCGCGTGTGCCGCGGCTGCGGCGGCACGGACATCGAGCTGGACGCGGCGCGCGGCGACGCGGTGTGCACGGGCTGCGGCTCGGTGCTGGAGGACAACATCATCGTGTCCGAGGTGCAGTTCGTGGAGAACAGCGGCGGCGGCTCGTCGGCCGTGGGCCAGTTCGTGTCGCTCGACGGTGGGTCGCTGCGGGGGCGGGCATTCCCTCCCCGGGTCGGGACTCGCGCGTCGCCCTGGGCATGTGTGAGTCGCTCTCCCGGCAGAAGTTGGTCCTGGCCGGAGTTCGGGTTTTGATACCCAGCAGTTGGTATTTTGTCGCTAGATCAGTCTTGGTGTCACGTCTAGAATGTTTTTTGTCTGACCCTAAGGTGCCGCGTTTGTCTTCAAAAGTTTTTTTTTTCTTTTACATGTTTTGCATTTGCTTTTATTTTGTTCTTATTTTTCCGGCGCCGGAGACCTGGCCGGGGCTTGAGGCAAGTCCCTCCGCCGACTTGGGTCCCGGGGCGGCCGGGCTGGGCGGGGGCGTGGCTCTGGGCGGGGAGCTCTGCGGGGGGCGTCCCCTGCGCCGCCCGACCGCCCGCTCTGGCTGCGCCCGCCGCCCTGGCTCCTTTGGCACGGATCACTGGGTCCCTTTCTGGTGGGTCTTTTTCTGGGTTCTGTCTGTGCCGTTTCCATTGTCGCCACCACAATGTTTCGTTTATCGTATGTTTGTTTATTATTTTTTATTTTTTTGCAGTATTGAGGATTAAACTCGGGTGCTGGGGATTGAGCTCAGGGCATTAGCCTCGTTTATTGTACGTTTTACGTTGTCTTGAAATCCATTATTGTGTGTCCTCTAACTTTGTTCTTCTTTTTCAAAATTGTTCCTTTTGTAGTCCTTTTCCGCTTTCCTTTGTTTTTACACTAGGTTTGTATATATGTACGAAATTCCTGCTTGAGTTTTTAATGGAATTGCATAAAAATTTTTCGATAAATGTAGGAGGATTTGACATTTTTAATGTGTTGAGTCTTCCAGTCCACGAACACAACATGTCTCTCCCTTCATTTAGGTTCTTTTTGGAATCTTCCATCAGAGTTTCCTTATTTCATAGCTTCTCTATATTTGTTACAGATATTCCTAAAATCTATTTGGAGCTGTTGTGAATGGAATTTCTTTTAACAGTCAGTTTGCATTAATTCATTGATAGTAGTGTGAAATACAGTTAAGATAGTGTTTAGAAAGGTGGTCGATTTACCTTTTTTTTCTTTCTTTCTCTCTTTCCTCCTCCTCCTTCTCCTGGGGATCAAATCCGGGGCCTCTTGCATTCTAGGAAAGAGCTCTACCATTGAGTGACACCCCCAAGCCAATACAGTAACATAATTGATTTCTGTGTGTTGGCCTATTCTGTAACCTTGCTAAGCATACTTGTTCTGGGTTTCTTATGCACTGCGATTTTCTGATAAGTAATTATGTTGTCTATAAATATAGACTTATGTTTCTTCCTTTTGTTTCTCTTGTTTTGCCCTACAAGAGAAATTTTTGCCTTGTTTTGATCTTAGAGGGAAGCATTCAGTTATTCAGTTCTTTCTGTTCAGTGGGATGCTAGCTGTAGGGTTTTTTTTGTTTTTTTTTTTTTGTACTGGCGATTGAACTCAGGGGCACTTGACCACTGGGCCACATCCCCAGCCCTTTTTTGTATTTTTATTTAGAGACAGGGTTTCACTGAGTTTCTTAGCACCTTGCTTTTTGCTGAGGATGGCTTTAAACTCATGATCCTCCTGCCTCAGCCTCTGGAGCCACTGGGATTACAGTGTGCTTCGCTGTACCTGGCTAGCTATAGGTTTTTGATATTTGTATTTCATCAGTAAAGTTGAAATTCCCTTTCTACTCCTAGTTTGCTCAGTTTTTTTTTTTTTTTTAATGAGTAGATGCTGAATTTTGTCAGATGCTTTTTCTGCATCAGCTGATACTGTCGAATGTTTTTCTTTAGTCTGTCATTGTGACTTTTAAAAAAAATTTTAAATTTTATTTATTAATTTTGGTAGTAGGAATTGAACCCAGGGTCACTTACCCACTGAGTCATATCCCCAGCTGTCTTCCCCCTTTATTTTTTATTGAGACAGGATCTCACTAAGTGACTTAGGGCCTCACTAAGTTGGTGAGGCTGGCTTTGAACTTGTCCTCCCCCTCCAGCCTCCAGAGGCCTCCCAGGCCTCTGGGATTACAGACATGTGCCACCATTTATTTATTTATTTTTGCTGTGCTGAGACTGGAACCCAGGGCCTTGTGGATGCTTTAAGTTAGTGCTCTGTCACTGAGCTAGACCCTCAGCTCTTGACTTTTGAATATTGAACCTGACTTGAGTTCCTGGGGTAAGCTCACTTGTTATGGGGTATTATTCTTTAAATGTGTTTCTGGGTTAAGTTTGCTAATATTTTGTTGAGGACTTTTGTCTATGTTCATGCGGGTTATTGGCCTGTGCTTTCTTTAATGTCCTTGTCTACTTTCTGTTTCAGTGTGCTGTACCTCACGGAATGAATGGGAGATGATCCCTCCTCTTTTATTTTCTGAAAGAAATTGTATAGATCTGATTTTCATTTTCTTCTTAAGAGTTTGGTAGAATCCATCAGTGTAGCCATCTGGGCTTGGAGGTCTCATCTTCAGAAGTTCACAGTTATAAATTCAGCTTATTTATTTATTTATTTTTTACTTTTTTAAAATCTGTTTTAATTAGTTACACATGATAGTATAATGATCTTTTTTTAAATTTTTTTTTTAGTTGTACATGGACACGATACTTTAATTTTTTTATTTATTTTTATGTGGTGCTGAGGTTTGAACCCAGGGCCTCACAGGTGCTAGGTGAGCACTCTACCCCTGAGCCTCGACCCCAGCCCAGTACAATGATCTTGACATATCATACATTTGAATCAGATGGGAAATTCAGTTTCTTTGGCAGTGGAGTTTATTGTTAGGTTTTAGATCGTTTCACCTTGGGCTGGTTTTGGTCATTTGTTCTTGACAATTTGGGCCAGTTGGTCTAGTTGTTGAATTTATGTGCCTAGAGTTATTGGTGGCACTCCTGTGTCCTTTGACACCTGCAGGGCCTGTAGTGGCATCCTCCCTCCTTACCAGTGATGAGGTCTGTCCTCTCTCTCTCCTTGTATTGCCTGAAGTTTATCAGTGTGGTTGGTCTTTCCAGTTGGCTTTGGGTTTGCGTTTTTCCTCCAGCTCTTCCTTTCCTGTGGTCTGTTTCACTCATCACACAAGCCTTTGTTCTTTGTGGGTGACTTCCCAAGGGAGTCTTCCAGACTGCTGGAACAGTGGCTCTGTGGCTTATTGTCTGCATCCTTGTCACAGTTGCCAGGACATTGATGCCTGCTGGGGTGATAACAGCAGTAATAAAACAAATCATGGTGGTGGCAGACACATAGGGCTTTCTGTGGGAAGGCACTGTGGTAGGGGGCCCCATGGCCTAGTAAGAGCTGTTGTCCTCAGTACGTCCCTAGGGTATAAGAGAACATGGTGTGGAGCAGGTTTGGGGTGAGCTCTCACCCATGCATACTGGGAAGTCTGTCATAGGAGCCTTGAACAGATGATCAGACAGGTTCTTAGGAGGCACTAAAATACTTCTCCAAGGAGAGGTAGCCCCAGCAACCAACAGTTGAAGCTCTTGGGAAGGTGCTTGGGGCTGTGATTCTTAGCCCCAGGGAGAGGAGGGTGGTGCAGGTTGGGTCCAAGTAGGAGAGCATTGGCTGCTCAGGGCATTCATTTCATCTCCCAGGTACCCACCTGGCATCCCTCTTCTCCCTCAGCATGATTACACAATCACCGAAACTGGAGACTTGTCAGTTTCCAGCACTTGAGTAGGACCCCAGAGCCCCTTGCCCAGCTTACCCTTCCTCTAGCCTCATCCTGAAAGCCAAGATTTCCCATGAATGGCTGTTTTCTAGGTCTAAAGCCACTGTCTTGCCTAAGTGTAAGAACTTATTGAGAACGAAGCTGGACACTTAGCTTAGAGGTTACTCTGGAATGTGTAAGATGTCAGGGTAGTGTGGCAGGACCTGCAGCAGGAGCGCCTGCTCAGAAACCACAGTCTGTGCAGAGGGAAGGGAAGACTGTCAGAACTGCTGGCCCAGAGTGGCCAAACAAAAGGCTGTGGGCAGGCCTGGAGAAGGCTGTGCCGCTCCATGGGGGTCTGTGCTCACTCCCATATGTGAGGATTATGGGGGCAAAATAGGACTTCCTGGAAGCACACACCCCAGAGTCCTGTGCTGTGCATCTCTGAGCCTGCTTCTGTCACTGGGTGGTGGCACACACATTCCTGCTTCTATCATTCCTGAGGATGCTGATGCACAGGGAGCACCTACCCCTTCTGCTGGGAGCAGCAAACCTTCTCTGTCACCAGAACATATGTGGGTGGGTTGGGAGCATCTCTGATTTCCATAATCAGAATTTTTTTTTTTCCCTTTTTTGCGGTGCTGGGGATGGAACCCAGGGCCTCACACATGCTAGGCAAGTACTCTACCAAGCCCTATAATTAGAACTTTCTTTTTTTTAAGTTGTTGATAGAACTTTATTTTTATTTTTAATAGGTGCTGAGAATCGAACCCAGTGCCTCACACATGCTAGGCAAGTGCTCTACCACAGAGCTATAGCCCCAGCCCCAGCCACTATAATTAGAACTTTCAATGGCTGTACACTTGGTCCTTTATATCAAGGTGTCTGTAAGTGTTGGTGCTGCTTCCCTAGACTCTTTTGTGACAGATGCCCCATTGCTGGAATTGGGAAAGGCTTACTGTCCCAGCCATGGTGAGGGCCTGGCAGGTGGAGCCACTCTTGCCTGCCCCTGTGGAATGTTGCGGCCTTCCAGCCCTCCATGTGTCACTGTGGTGGGAGCCGAATGTGGGCCTGGCAGTCTGGCAAGGTTTTGTCCCCAGGTTGAAAGACTTGGAGTCTCTTTGTATTCTGTGGCCCTTGAGAGTCCTGCCATGTCCTGGCTGAAGGTATCTGTTCTCGGGAAATGCTGACTGGATTCCATCCTGGAGATACCTGGGTGAGGGAAGACTGGTCCACTTTTTTGGCCTCCCTGGTCAGGTTGTGATCACCTCAGATGAGCGTTTGGGGAATGGCCTGCTGAAGAGAGTTGGCTGATGCCGTGTTCAGCTGTTCACCTGCAGTGTTCTCACGCCACTGAGCTTTCTGTAGATGCCATCCTTAGGCACTCTCCTGGTGTCATGTGGTCCTCATCCACAGCACTCAGGGTCTCTGTGGCCCCAAGGCGCCTCCTGGGTGTGCATGTAGGTGACAAGTTCAGCAGTAAGTAAGGCCAGCTGAGTTCCTTTCCCTGCTGTGCTGCCCAGAGTGGTCTCAGATAGGTGTCTCCCCTTCAAAGGAATGTCACTGCAGCAACAGTAACTCCTTGGCTAGGTAAATTGACATGATTCATGAATATTTTCCTGTGCTGGAAGAACCCTGAGAGGGATAGAGGAGGTGCTGTGTGGGGGCCTTTTGGGGCACCCTTGGCTCCCTTTCTCGCTCTGGTCCAGGATGTGGGTGTGGCTTTGTCTGCACCGCAGAGCCGGCCAGTGTCTTCCTGGGGAGCACTTTTTGCTCCCTTAAGGGCTCTTTGAGTGGACTGGAGTTCCAGGTCGCTCCCCCACTGTCCACCAGGGGGCGTTCTCACCCAGGCCTGGCTATGTGGTACTTCCTGCCTGAATCTTTTGTTATAAAACTTGTAGAAATACCAAAAGGTTTAGAAGCAGAGTGTATTTGAAGGACAGGCATTCGCAGTTGGCAATTTTGGCCAGAGGTCATCCTTGGACTCTCTAAAAGATGAAAGAAGAAAGCCCAAGTATGACCCTTAACATGCTGAGATTTGCTGAATAAGTGCTTTTTATACCAGCCATGTATGACTCCCGCTGTGCGTGGGTTCATATGTCATGTGTGAGTGCTTGGGGGGTAAAGCACAGTCAAGAGGCAGCTCCCAGAGCCTATGTGGCCTGTGCTGGCTGGGCCGGGTGGCTGGGGTAATGGGGAGAGACAGGGGCATGGGGGCACGGAGGGTGAAGGTGGGGGAGCGGAGGGCAAGGTGGGCGTGGCTGAGGGAGGTGGCAGCGACTTGGCAGCTTTGCAAGTGTGCTTTGGGTAGCACTGGAGTGAGAAGACTGAGGATCAAGGAGATTACATTGCACTCTGAGCCAGAGCTGAAGTCACCCTCTTACTGAACGCGGCGTCTCTCCATGGTCCTGTTCTGTAAGGAGACCCCTGGCTGCCCCGAGTCTGAGCAGAGATAGGTGGCCAGAATGGAGGCCACCAATCCCTGTCCCTGGAAGGTGGGCTTCAGGGGTTTAAGCTTTGACCAGTGTCCTTTTCTTTTTCCCTCCCTCCCTCTCCCTCCCTCCCTCTCTTTTCTTCCCTTTTCTAACCTCACCTTTTGCCCTCCCCTCCCTGCCCCCTGCCCCCTTCCTTTCCTTTCTTACTCCCTTTCTCTCTCTTTCTTTCTTATGTTAGGCTTGAACCCAGGGGTGTTCTACCACTGAGCCACACCCCCAGCCCTTTTTATTTTTTGAGATAGGGTCTCACTGAGTTGCTGAGGCTGACCTGGAACTTGTAGTACTCCTGCCTTGGCCTCCTTGGTAGCTGGGATTACAGGTTGCATCACCACACCAGGTGATCAGCATCTTTTCTTAATTCAGCATTACTTGACTTTCATTAAAAGCACGTGTCCATTTAAATTAGAGCATCGGGGCTGGGGATGTGGCTCAAGTGGCAGCGCGCTCGCCTGGCATGCGTGCGTCCCGGGTTTGATCCCCAGCACCACATACAAAACAAAGATGTTGTGTCCGCCGATGAATAAAAAATAAATATTAAAATTCTCTCTCTCTCTCTCTCTCTCTCTCTCTCTCTCTCTCTCTCTCTCTCTCTCTCTCTCACTCTCTTAAAAAATAAAAAATAAATAAATTAGAGCATCAGGGACTCTCTCTCTCTCTCTCTCTCTCTCTTTTTTTTTTTTTTGGTACTGGGGATTGAATTCAAGGGCACTCAGCCTTATTTTGTATTTTATTTAGAGACAGGGTCTTACTGAGTTGCTTAGCACCTAGTTTTTTGCTGAGGCTGGCACTGAACTCACAATCCTCCTGCCTCAGCCTACCGAGCTGCTGGGATTACAGGCATGCGTCACCGTGGCCTGCCTTTTTTTCTTTTTTAAAAAATAAAGGTTGGAAGGTGTGTGTGCTGGAAGCAGGTGAGCTGAGGTGTGCTGTCCTGGTCTACATATGGAACTACAGACGGTCATGGGTCTCCTTTCTCTAAAAGATTTCAAGTGTAAAAATTCTAGAGTTTAAAAAAAAAACACCATCACAAAACAAAGGTAATGAATGCAGATAGTGAGACCTGTGTTGGATTTCTACAGGCCCAGAGTTGAGACAATGGTGTTTGAAGCCTCCCTTGCTCCTGGTGCACAAAGTTGCGCAGCCAGATGGGCTGCCCTCTGGCTGCCTCTCCCAGGGTCTCCCTGTGTCCCTGTGTCAACGGCTCGCTAGCCCACTCACTCTGCACACAGCTTCTTGTGGGGTTTGCAGTGACTCGCTTGGGCAGGACAGCAGACAGAATGTTTCTGGGCTGCCACTTGTCCAGGAGCCTTGCTCTGTTGCAGAGGGTTGCTTGTGGCTGTCCTTCATTCCCCTGGCCTGGGATTATGTTGAAGCCCAGGAGGCAGCAGGGCCAACCCTGGCCCCTGCTGGTGGCTGGAGACTTGTATGGCCTGGGGCTGCTTTTTGGGTTTTCTTGCCTCCTCTGATTCTGGCTGGATTCCAACTAACCTGAGAGTCAGCTGCTGATCTTTATCAGCATGTCACAGACAATCAGGAGACTGAGCTTGTGCTATGCTACTCTGTGGCTGGCACTGGGTCCCTGTGGTGCAGCTGGCCACCCCGTGCCTCTTGCAGAGGGCCTGTCCCAGGCTTGGGTGATGCACTTCCCTGTCACTTCTGCATTTCCATTTCTTTTCACCTGTGTCCCCCGTTTGGTTGTCTTGTGTATGTGTCCTTAATTGTAGAAGCCTCAAGTCCCTGTGACTGTGCTTTGTCGTAAGTGTACTGGCCCCTGTGCTGTCACGAGATTTACTCCTGTGGGACAAGAGGCAAGTTCTGCCATCCCTGCCTGTGCTCATACTACCTGGCTTCTTTACTTCAGCATAAAGCATATGAAGATCCAGCTTCCAGTGGGATGGTGGTCTGGTGAACCATCCATATGTACACGCAATGTTTTCAAAGGGTATTGTAGCCTGAGTCCCAGTCCCGAAGCCCTGCAGAGATGTCCTGGGCTTACTCTCAATTGGCTGTGACCACACTGAGCACTGGTGCTTTCCCAGGTAGCTGTTCTCGGTGGGAGGGTGGCATACAAGTGGGTAAAGGCTCAGCAGCTCTGGGGCCACTTAGGATGTGATCTCTGGGCTCCAGGAGCCTGCACTCCAGTGGTATAGCCTCTGAGATGCCTGGCCTGGGCATGGTTGAGGGCTGTGGGAGGGACACGGAGGCCCAGCCTCTACTATGTAGGCACCCCAGGCTGCAGGGGGACAGAAGTTCACTGGGACCCATATTGTGTTAGGAACATGCTTGGAATATGCAAACAGGTGTGGTCTGCCCTCAGGGCTTTGGGGTCAAGCTATATCACTGGGCTAGTGGAGCAGAGGGGCCTCTCTGCTTGGCTTATGTCCCTTCCCGGCACAAAGACTAGACCATGCTTTGTTCTGCATGCAGTGAAGGGGCGTGGGTCTTCACCATCAGGCTCTGGCTAACCGGTTTCTTCTGTGTTTCCAGGTGCTGGCAAGAACCCAACCCTGGGCGGTGGCTTCCATGTGAACCTGGGGAAGGAGTCAAGAGCACAGACCCTACAGAATGGTATTGCCACTATGGATGTTGCTGACAGTGGTGTGGGGCAGCAGGCGGAGCTGCAGTGCTGGGATGGAGATGGGAGCAGAGTGGCTGGCTGCTGCTCCAGGTCCTGTGGTGCCACCACCCTCCACCTGTGGCCTGCCATGGCCTGTCACCCTCCAACCCCAGGGATGCCTGCACTTCTGGGAGGAACTGCTCCTTGAGTCCCCTCCCCTGTCATCAGAGCCTGCATGGGCATCCTGTAGGCCCTGTTAGGGCTGCTCAGAAAGAAGTGCCTGGACCCTGTTGCGCCCACAGCTCTTTGTTCCTGGTCTTAGTCAAGTTGAGTATAGAAGCAGCAAGTCTATAGTAATTTGCCATGACAGTAATATTTTCATTAGGTTTTATAGTAGTGCCAGTCTTTAACAAACTGTAGAATTGCTTTTCCAGTCCTTGGCCAGTTGCTACAGGAGTAGGAGTGCTTGGGAATATTATTCCCAGCAGAAACGCGTCTTAGCTTCCCGTTGTGCCATTTGCTCTGACCTTGTGGACTTACTAATAGACTAATGTAGTGAACTCTTTTCTTCTGATTTCCAGTTTGATTATTCTCTAGCAGAGATGAGGTTCTGTAGGATTTCAGCCTTTGAACAAATGCCTCCAGCTTATGCCATGGTCCAGCTAATGGTCAGCTTGGATCTTTTTCCTGCAGGAGGATGGAGTAGGGCTGTGGGCTTACCCCTGTGGACTTTGGTTCTGTTTGTTCTGCTAACAGCGAGGGCAGGAAAGCCTCCCACCCGCCTCTGGCTATGCCTCCTGCACATGGATTTGTGCATTTTTGCCTGCTTTAGCACTCCTGATCGGAGCACTCACATGGGATCCTCACTGCTTGTAGCACTCGTGGTCTTCTCACCCACCCAGGTATGGCCCACCCGTGCTTCTGGTCCTTGCCCAGATTATCTCCATTTTTGCTGCCACTGATTCTACGTTTGTTCCCAGTAGTGCATGTTTATTTCCAGAGCCTACTCTGTTGATTAGAGCAGTACACCCAGCTGAGGGCAGAGTGCCTTTTCTGCAGACACATTCATCACCGTGAAATCAGAAACTAAACAGAAAGATAACCCATCTGACTTCTAAACACTCCTTCAAACACCCTAGCCTTGCTTTAAGTAGGAAATCTATACAGTGTGCCAACTCCCAGGGCATGGCTGTCATGGAGGCAGCCCGTTCCTCACATGGGAGTCCTGCACCGTATGCAGGTTACCATTTGGTTCTCAGCTTCCAAGAGCCTTCAGCTGTCGCCCTCTGTAGACCACTCCTGGGGCTTTCCCCTGAGGTCCGGGGTGGCTGCCTGCTGCAGGGCCACGTCTCCCTCCCACTCTGCGTGTGGACTTCACCACCACCTACCTGCTCAGGTGTTCTTGCCTCCACCTTGCTTTTCCCACTGGGCCCTGGTGTGAACGGCCTACTGTCAGCCTCTGCCCCACTGCAGGGACCTTTTGCTTGTTCTTGTGAGTTCATGTCAACTTTATCTCTTTCCTATCATCTGGTACAGCTTGGGTGGGTGCCTAATGGGGCAGGTTTCAGCATTCTTTCCAGAACCCCCTGGAAACGCAAGGGCACCTGGCTCCCTTTGGTGGCTGCATTTCCAAAACATTGGGGTTCTGCTGCTTCTCAGTTCTTTCTTTCTTTCTTTTCTGGTGCTGGGGTTTGAATCCAGGGGTGCTTAACCATTGACCCACGTCCCCACCATTTTTTTTTAATTTAGGGACAGGGTCTTGCTAAGTTGCTTAGGGCCTCACTAAGTTGCTGAGGCTGGCTTTGAACTTGTGTCCTCCTGCCTTAGCCTCCCGAGCCACTGGGATTACAGGTGTGTACAACTTCTTTGTGATTATCTTCCTTTGTAAAATGCTTCACCACCTTTTTCTGGTTTGCCCACGGTTTGTCTTTTTATTTTGCTTATTCTGTGCTTCTCACCTCCTCCCACCCTGTGTACATTGGAAGTTGTACATTGTAGGACAATTCTCAGAAAGGCTACCCTAATTTTTTAGCAGAGGCACCCTTCTTTCAGCAAGGGTCATCCCTTGTTGGAGCATAGCTCATGATGCAGCCATTTACCACCCTTGACTCCAGCCTGGTGGGTTTGTTTGAAATCTGTGAATTTGGCTTTAGAATATTGCTGTTTTTGTTAAGTCTTGATTGCCTTTCCTAAAAAACAGTAAATATGGACCTAAATGAATGGCTTCTCCTGCCACCGAAAGGGCTGCCGTGTCTACCTTACTGGCCTCCTGCACTGTGCCCTCCCTTGGGCTCCACTTTGAGTTTGTTGGGCACATGCCATGTGATGCTGGGGAAGGGTTCTGGGGAAGAGAATCTCTTGACTCCCTATTTGTATGTGGGTTGTCTTCCCACTGGGATGGCTGTTAGAGTAGTTTCAGGCTCACAGAAAACTTGAGCAGAAAGTACAGAGATGGTCCCTGTACCCTGCCCCATATGCACAACTCCCCACCCTGGCCTTGCCCCTGCCACAGGAGTGCACCTGTTACCATGGATGAGCCATGATTTGCATTGGGGTCACTCTTCTGTGGACATACTGTGGGCTTGGACAAGTGTGTGCGGCTCGTATCCACCATTGTCCTGTCCAAGGGGAGCTACCCTGTTGGAAATTGCTCTGTTACCCTGTTGGTGCTCCTGGCCACCAAGGTTCTTTGTGCTGTCCCCAGTTTTACCTTTTGCAGAAGGGCACAGAATTGGACTCACCCAGCATGCAGCCTTGTCAGACTGTATTCTTTCACTCAGTGATGTGCATAAGATTTCCTCCTAGTCCTCTCTGTAGACCAGCTTGATAGCTGGTCTGTGTCTCATTGTTTGGGTGGACCTCAGTTTTTCTTCTTTGGTGCTGGGGCTCAAACCTGAGCTTGTGAGCATGCTAAGCATGCCCTCTATTGCTGAGCCACCCCCACACCATTCATTCATCCATCACCTGCTGAGGGCCTCTGGGTTGCTTCCAAGTTATAGTGAATAAAGTTGCTGTAAACATCTGTGTGCAGGTGGCACACAGAGTGCAATTGCTGTGTCACATGGAAAGAGCAGGTTTGATTCTGAGTGAAGCTGCCCGTGGTTACATTCCTGCCAGCAGCGAGGGAGGGTTTCTAGGGCTCTGCACCTCAGCAGTACTCACTGTAGTAGGGGGTCTGGGTTTTGGCCATTCAAGAACATACTTTTTTAAAGTATATAAGCAGTTTTTTTTTTTTTTTTTTTTTTGATTGCTATGTAGCATTTTAGATGTGACTGTGCCATAGTTGGCCTTGTTTTCCTCATGAGGGACATGCAGTTTCCTGTTTTGGCTGTTCCTGTCGCACTGCTGTCACATTCCTGTGCACAGTCCTTTGGTGGATGTAGGACTGGCTTCTCTCAGGAACACACCTGTGAATGAGGTTTTGGTCCTGGTGCAGGTGTGTGCTTATCTTTATTGGACAGGGCCAGGCTACTTTTCCACAGCATCTGGGAGCCTTGCCCTGGCACAGCAGGTGGGGTGTGGGAGTGCAGGATTGGGGGGGACTCTCTGAGTCCAGCTGACTACCTTTGCTTATGCTTTCTGGCCCTCTGGACATCCTCTGAGTGTGAAGTACCCGTTAATGTTTTTGCACATTTTTTAAAAATTGGGTTGTCATTGTCTTGCTGATTTGTAGAAGTCCTTTAATCTGAGCTCAAGTCCTCTATTGGATGTGCATATTTTGAATCTTCTATCTATAGTTTCTTTTTTCATTCTTTAGGTTATTTATGATTATTATTATTATTATTATTATTATTTTAGTTATAGATGGACACAATATCTTTATTTATTTATTTATTTTGTATGGTGCTGAGGGTTGAACTCAGTGCCTCACATGTGCTAGGAGAGCACTCTACCACTGAACCACAATCTTAGCCTCTACCTTGTTATCTTTTGATGAACAAAAAATTAAAAAAAAATTTTTTTTTAAATAAAATTTTAAATTTTAATGAAGTTTGAATTTGTTTTTTTATGGTTAGGGCTTTTGGTGACTTGTTAGAATTTTATCTGCCCTAGGTGTGAATTTATTCTCCTGTTTTCATCTGGAAGCTTCACTGTTTTAGATTTTGAGCTGGAGTGTGGTTCAATGGTCACTTGCTTACCCAGCATGTGCGAGGGCCTGAGTTCAATCCCCAGTACCACACACACGAAGTTTATTGTTTTAAATTTGATGTTTAGGTTTCTGAAAAGCCTGAAAGCAGTCTTTTATGTATGGTGAAGCTGGGGCTGAAGTTCACATTCCAGTTATGAAGATGCAGTTTTTCCAGCACCCTATATCAGAATAGCTGTCTCCCCCTCGCCACTGTCTTGGCTGTGTGTGGGAGTCTGTGCAGACTCTGGTGATGTCACTGTGTCTTCTGGCTGTCAATCTCACAGGCCTTTGCTGTGTCCTCAGATTCCTGTGCTTTAGCTCCTTCTGCTGTTCTTTGCTTGTTGTTTTGGCTATTTCTGCTAATTTGTATTTCTTCTTTCTTTTTTTTTTTAAGGGAATTTTTTTATATCTTTATTTTGTTTATTTATTTTTATGTGGTGCTGAGGATCGAACCCAAGGCCTCGCACGTGATAGGCAAGCGCTCTACCGCTGAGCCCCAGCCCCAGCCCTAATTTGCATTTCTACATAAATTTTAGAATCAGCTGGTTGATTTCCAAAAGAAAGCCTGTCCAAATTTTACCTGGGATTACATTGAATCTGTAAGTCAAATAGTAAAGAATGACTGCATTGACCCCTTAGCGTGTTCTACCTTAACAAGAACAAGGTCTGTGAGCGTACATTGTTATCTCTTCCTTTCCACCTTTCCTCTTTTTTACTCTCAATGCATTATTATATCTTTTATTACTGTTCTAGACTCTCTAGGATAGTGTTGAGTAGAAGTGTTTCATTCCTGACCTCATTGTGAAATGTTCAATATCTTGTTATTAGGAATGGTGTTGTTTTGCTTTGTTCTTCTTTGTACCTATGGAGATGGCTATGTTATTTTTTGTTTATTTTGCTGATGTGGTGAATTCTATTGATTTGTGGCTGTTGAAGTCACCTGGGTTTCTGGAGTGAGTAGCCCCTGGGCCGTGGCATGTTTTGTGCTTGGTGTGGTGCTGCAGTGGGGCCATGTGCATGGAGGCTGCTGCACTGCCCAGCCACACATCCCGCTGCGCTGTCAGTGTGCACTGCTGGGGTTAGATTCCCATGGTCTGTTCAGGGCTCTGGGGGCCAAGGCCATGGAAGACACTGCCTTTCATTATCTGTTCTAATTAGTTACACGTGACAGCAGAGTGCATTTTGACTCACTGTGCACAAATGGAGCACAGCTTTTCATTTCTCTGGTTGTTCACGACATGGAGTGATACCAATCGTGCAACAGTCATACACGTACCTAGGGTGATGATATCTGTCTCAGTCCACCATCTTTCCTATCCCATGCCCCTTCCCTCACCCCTCTCCGCCCAATCCAAAGTTCCCCCATTCTTCTCATTCCCCCCTTCTTTCTGTTTTCTGCCAGAGCTGGTATGAGCCTGGGGCCCCCCTTGATCTGTGGCTGCTCTCTGTCTGTTTCCTCCTGGTCTGAGCACACTGGGAGTCGTAGTCGGGCATGTGTGGAAGGTTGCTCTGTTTGGATTTGATGCTTTCCCAGGGCTGTGGATTTGTGGGGTGCCCTCCTCTGCCCACGTCAGGATGTCTGATGCCAGTGTCACTTCTCTCCAGTGACAATGGTTTTGGCACCTGCTTAGGTGACCACCAGTGCCCTCCATCCTCTGTCCTCCAAAGGATGTTGTGTAGTGCTGAACTAGCGCTGGGAGGGTTGAGCTCACTCCAGAGTTGTGTAAGCCTGGCACTTGTAGGCATGGGGCAGGAGCTGCATGAGGCTGGATGGTGCTTCTCCTCCTCCTACCAGGGTTCTGTTGGGAGGTGTCTCTCCCCTGTTCTGTCAGTTTTTACATTGTCTGTTTTGTAGCAGCATCTAGCTCCTCCCTGAGAAGACCCCTGCTCTAGCTCCCAGTTCACTTTTCTGCCTTTGCCTGCGCCATTCTGCTGATCTGTTATTTTTTGGTTAAAAATGTCTTGGGGCTCAGCATAGAGTGTTCGCCTGGCACGTGTGAGGCACTGGGTTTAATCCTCAGCACCACATAAAAACAAGTAAATAAAATAAAGGTATTGTGCGCTGGGGTTTGGCTCAGAGGTAGAGCGCTCACCTGGCATGCTTGAGGCACTGGGTTCAATCCTCAGCACCACATAAAAATAAAATAAAGATATTGTGTTGGGCTGGGGATGTGGCTTAAGTGGTAGCACGCTCGCCTGGCATGCGTGCGGCCTGGGTTCAATCCTCAGCACCACATACAAAAAAAAAAAAAAGATGTTGTGTCCGCCGAAAAATAAAAAATAAATATTAAAAATTCCCTCCTTTTCTCTCTCTCTCTCTCTTAAAAAAAAAAAAGTTATTGTGTCCACCTAAAACTAAAAAATAAATATTTAACAAAAAAATAAAGGTATTGTGTCCAACTACAACTAAAAAAATATTTTTACAAAACAACAAAAAGTGTCTTAATTATCATATTTTAAATTTTCTAGTACTGGGTCTTTGGTTTTGGTTTGGGGCTAGGGACCGAGTCCAGGGCTTCACGTGTGCTGGGTAAGCCCTGCCCCTCCTGGGCTCCACTCCAGCCCCAGGGCTGTCTTTTTACTTAGTCTCTTCATGTGCTTCAGGATTGGAGTCCCCTCTGGTGGTGTGTGCATGACTCTGCCAGGGAAGTTGATTCTTCCTGACTGCAGGCCTGGGTGCTCTCCCTCTCTTCCACTTATGCATCTTTTTGCTTTGGGGTGGTGCCTAGGCTCCTGTCTCAAAACAAAAAACCAAAAGGTATGTATATAGCTCAGTGGTAGAGTAACCCCAGGTTCAATCCCTAGTACCAAAAAAAAAAAAAAAAGGTTCTGAAATTGAAGTTTGCCCAATCAGAAACAAACCACACATCTACCAGCAGGGCATCCTCCTCACCCAGGAGCGAACTAGAGGACCACCGCTGACAAGTGGGCCAGAAGATGCCACACCTGTGGAGTGTGGGCTGGGAAAGGAGAGCTCCTCAGAGCACCACAGAGCTCCCGGAAGCAAGCGAGAAACAGAAGGCTGCCAGAAGCTGTCATTGTCTTGCTGATTTGTAGAAGTCCTTTAGTCCAGGCTCAAGTCCTCTGTTGGATGTGCGTATTTTGAATCTTCCATCAGTAGCTTCTCTTTTCATTCTTTAGCTTGTTGTCTTTTTCTTCTTATTATTATTTTAGTTATAGGTGGACACAATACCTTTATTTATTTATTTTATGTGGTGCTGAGGTGCCTCACATGTCAGTCCATATGCATGTGAATGCCAGTCTTGAGCGGAGCCCTTGCAGATGCAGCCGAGGGGAGCCTCCCTGTGGAGGCTGCAGGCTTGGAGGCAGCAGCATGGGAGCCTGGGGTGTGGGGTTCCTGTCCTGGGCCTGAGGGTCTGCAGTTCTGGAGTTGTGCTTGGCTGCTGGCTCCCGGGGGAACAACTTCATTTTTCCAAAGTGTCCAAGTTTCAAGGGCGCTGTGTGCTAGTGGGTTTACTGTAAGATTCTCTCACTGGGAAGAAGCCCAAGGAGAGTGGGCTGTGGCAGCTTATTAGTAACTGTTTGTTTTTTTTTTTCCTTTTTTTCAGGTACTGGGCATTGAACCCAGGGGTGTTGTTCTACCATGAGCTGCACCTAGCCCCCCCCCCTTTTTTTTTTTTTTTTGAGGCCGGGCCTTGCTAAGCTGCTGAGGCTGGCCCTATGGTGCTCCTGCCCCAGCCTCCCAAGTTGTCTGGTGTGCACCACTGTGTAGGTTCTGGTAACTGTTTTAGGAGCATGTGTTTACTCACAGGGTCTTTTTATGTTTACAGAATGTGCATGTTGAAGGCTTGTGACTAACTGACTCTACTAGTGGTACTCACTGAATTCATCATGTATTAAAGATTAGTCAGGAGTGGAGTAGGGAGTTAGTACCTGTGGTCATGGGTGTTCTGTTTGGGGTGCTGAAAAATGTATTGAATTGTGCTGATGGTTTCACAACTCTGAATTGCAGGCTTTAAGTGGGAACTTTTTCAGCATTTGAATATATCACATACAGATGTTAACAAGTTGCTTACTACAGCAATCTTATGTCCCAGCTCGGTGAGTCTAAAACAAATAGACCACAGCTGGGGCTTAGACAGCATAGGTGCAGTTCTGCAGCCCAGGAAGCTGGATGTCCAGGACCCAGGCCCCGACAGAGTCAGTGTCTGGCCAAGGCTGCTTCCTGGTTCCTAATGGTGCCTTCTCACTGGGTTCTTCATGTGGGGGAGGTTGGGGTTGGGGTCCCTTTCATAAGGGCACAACCTCCTGAGATTATACTATGGGGACCAGGGCCCTCTATGTTGGGAAAGAGCCTGTGAAGGAGAAACCCCCCAGCTGACTGTTTACCCTTGAGCCTCGAGGGGCCACGGAGTGTGGGGATCAATCTGTGCTCCTGCATCTGTGAGCCTGTGCACACTAATGGGAGGTGGTGGTCAGAACTGCTGTCTTTCTGACCAGCTGGCCAGGATCTTGCCTTTGCCCAGGCCTCAGGGCACAGTGACTAGCCCTCTCCGACAGGAGCCCTTTGAGCTGAGGGTCTCAAAGTGCTGGGGTCTCAGCAGGGCGGGGCTCCCTGAGGCAGGGTGAGGCTCATCCCTGACTTGCCAGGCCACATGCCCCAGCTGTGGCTTTCCTGGGCGTGGCTCACCAAATGCCCACCTTTGGCTGGCTGTCATTGTTAGTGAAGTTCAGCTATGAGCAGCATGCCAGCAGCACATCCATATTAGAGAAATCAGGCAGCGAGTATTTAACTTTTGTAGGTGAAGTGGAGGCGTTTGGGGTGTCCCAGGAGGAGTGGTCTGGGGGCTAGAGGACCCTGGTGGGACTGGAGATCTCAGGGGTGGCAGTTCTTCTTGCTGTCCTAATCTTGTTCTGCCCACACATATTCTGGATGCCCCAGAGGGCCTCCCCACATGCCCACACTGTAGACGTGAGGCCTGTGTCGGGCTAACCTCAGGACCCTCTGCTGCTGGCCTCTGGACCTCTGCATTTTCATGGATGTACAGGAGGCCCTGCTGTTTTCCTGCCCATGAGGCAGTACTCTGTTCCCTCTCTCTTAGCCCACAGCACTTAGGGAAGCCCTGCTTTTGAAAGGGGTGTGGCCCTGTCATGGCCTTTGCAGCTCCGTGAGCCCTGGGACACTCAGTGCTGCCTGGTGTACCAAGTGCCATCCTCCCTTTGCAGTGTGGAAGGTCGGCTTGTTGGGCTGTCCCTTTCTCTGCTCTCTCCTCTAGCCAGTCAGCCAGCGCTGTGGGGTGGAGATGGTGTTTGGGCACATGGCTGTGGGAGAAGGGGTGTTTCCACCTCAGGGCATAGGCAGTCAGGAAGTAGTACCAGGCTGAACCTGTGGGACCCAGGGAGCCTCTTCACAGCTACCACTCAGGGCTAGAAACAGGATTTCACCGATATGAAAACCATAGGAAATTCCCTTTACAGTGTCCATATATAAAAATCAATTAGACACATCTACACAAAGTGAATTTAAAACTTACTAGGAAAAGGTCGAATCTGATTACTCTTAAATTGCTAAGGTGGTTACGTGATGCTTCTTTTTAACCAGAGTTGTTTTGAGTGGCAGCATCTTGGTAAGTCACTGCTATTGTGTCCTAGGGAGGCGCCACATCCACCACCTGGGGAGCCAGCTGCAGCTGAACCAGCACTGCCTAGACACAGCCTTCAACTTCTTCAAGATGGCCGTGAGCAAGCACCTGACCCGAGGCCGGAAGATGGCCCACGTGATTGCTGCCTGCCTCTACCTGGTTTGCCGGACAGAGGGCACACCACGTATCCTTTGTCCAGGGAGCCCCCCAGAAGACTCCATGCTGGTTCTTGGTTGCTTTCCTTGGATGATTCAGTAGTTGCAAGAACTTGATGCTGGTATTAACTGGCAGATAACCTCATTGGATCACCATTCTCAGTTGACCCCAGGCTTTCTTTTACTGAATTGAGGGACCAGGAAGCAAGATGCCTGTTCTTTTGCAGTCAGGGGAGCCAGGGTTCTGCCGACTCCTGGAAACCATGTCCTGGATTTTCTTCTGATCTTGAACTGACTTGTACTTGGGTGCCATTTTTGGTGTCTTCCTCTGGTTTAAGGAGGTGGAGTGTTGCTGCCAAATTAGATGTAACCAGACTGGGCTTGTTGTCCCTGCAGACTTGGGGCTGGAGGAGGAAGGGGGTGGCCTGCAGTGTTTGCTGGCCCCGCTCCTGCCCCTCACAGGCATCTGGTCCTGACCTCTGCACGTGCACACGTGCATTGGGAAGTCTAGTCATTGGTCCTGAAGAAACCAGGGCACCTCAACCTCCCCATCCTGTACTGTCTGCCATGCAATGCCTTTTGGGGATTCTTCTCTTTCCTTGGGTCCCTGGTCATGTTCTCCTCATTTTGCAGGGCATTTTCTCTGAAGGCTCCCTGAGAAAGGATCTGCTTTGAGCTCTGAGCCTGTGAAAATGATGGATTACAGAATTTCAGTGACAAATGTGTCCCACAGGCCACAGGGTGCTGCCCAGCGTCTTGCTCCAGTATTCCCAGCCTGCACTGGTGCCCCACTGAGCCCTGACTCTTGGTGTGACTATTTTGCTTCGCCCCATAGGCCTGAGCATCTTCTGCTTGTCTTCAGGGCTGTGACTCCTGGGCACCTCCGTCTGACTGCTTTTGGGCCTGGACTTGCCTCGAGTCTCCTGCTTCTGCTTCCTGTGCTCACTGCACCTGCCCCACTGCAGGCCTCAGGTGCTCTCCCTCTCTTCCACTTTTGCTTTGGGGTGGTGCCTAGGCCCCACCTTCTGGCAGCCTTCGTGTTTCTTGCTTCCGGGAGCTCTCTGGTGCTCTGAGGAGCTCTTCTTTCCCATCCCACACTCCACAGGTGTGGCATCTTCTGGCCCACTTGTCAGTGGTGGACCCCTAGTCCGCTCCTAGGTGAGGAGGATGCCCTGCTGGTAGATGTGTGGCTTGTTTCTGATTGGGCAAACTTCAATTTCAGAATCTTTTTTTTTTTTTTTTTTTTTGGTACTAGGGATTGAACCTGGGGTTGCTCTACCACTGAGCTATATGCATACCTTTTAGTTTTTATTTTGAGACAGGGTCTTGCTGAGTTGCCCAGGCTGGCCTAGAACTTGTGATCCTCCTGCCTCAGCCTCCTGAGTTATTAGGATTGTAGACATGCACTACCTGCCCAGCAAATTTCAGAATCTGTCCTTAAAATGTCCTTTTAAAAGCTGGAAATTTATCATTTTAGCCTGCAGTGTATTGTTGCAACCCACTTAGAAACCTTTGGATCTTAGAAACTGTTGAAGAGCAATGGGGGATTAAGAAAGACAAACACTTATAGAGCGAAAGCTGGGACACCATCCTCAGATGGAGGAACAATGACCCAGAGCCAGCTCAGCACATTCATTATATAAGTTTTATCATCAAAACCTGTGAGAAAGTTTCTGTGAGAAAATTTCTTCAAAGCAGGCAGTCTTGAAGGTGTAAGTACTGGCAAGCAATCATAATTATCTTGTTGCACTAATAATTCTCTATCTCTACCAGCTGGTGTCTGAACTCAGGGTCAAGACTGATAGTTCCATGACTTGCATAGGACCTCCTCAGGCAGGACATCACCATGGTAACTGGGCAATCTTTTCCTGTACCTTTTGCACAGGAAGTTCCCAGCATAAGTGCAGTAATAGCCATGAGGCAGAGACCATGATCCAAGTCACCACTCTCCACGGGGTATAAAGTGTAATTGCTTTAAGGGATGATATGAACACCCAGACAGTCCTTGTGCACATTAGGAGCAGAGCCCAGCTTGCATGACAACTTTGCCACAGCCCTGCCTCTGCCAGGGCTGAGCACCTCTGCAGATCCTGTGCTGAGAAGACTCTTAGCCTGGAGGCAGGAGCAGCAGCATCACTGTGCAGAGACTAGGAAGCAGGACCCTAGGGTGGCCAGCCTGGACACTGCAAAAGCCTGGGGGCATCTAGGTGTGTATGTGCGTGCCACCCCAACCCTCCTCTCGCCCTGTGCAGAAAATGCATCCTTGACTGCTCTGGAAAGTGAGCAGCTCGGGGTGAGGTGATAGAGAGCAGCAGAACAGGCAAGTGTCCTGCAGCCTGAGGTAAAGTGTGGCTCTGTGCCTTGTGTGCTGCTGGTGGGAGGAGCAGTGTGTGGTGCTCTGGGAGGCCACGCCTCCCACGGACACAGTAGCCCACTCCCAGGTGTTACCTGACACAAAAGCCTGTGTCCACACAGTGCAAATACTGTAGTGTTGACAGTAGCCAAGATCTGGGACCATCCGAAGCATCCTCTTGGTGAATGATCAGCCAGGTGCAGTGTATCTGTACCAGGAGTGTCGTGAGCCATGAAGATGAAGTACGGGATGAACCATGGAATTGTGTCCAGGCAGTGGTGACAGTCACAGAGCTCTGCAGGTGAAGTGGAAGCCGCTGCACAGTTGGGGAGCATGTCGCTTTCACTTCACGACCCTGCTAAAGATATCATTGTGCCCCCAGGCTGGGCATTGCACTGAGGCCAGCGTCCCAGCCCCTCTGGGCTGTAGTGGCCTAGCTGGGCCCCACCCTCCAGCCTTGCTCTCCTCAGTACTTCTAGTAGCTGTGTCTGGTGGCCTACCTCTCATTTCCCCGTGTACCCTGTCTTGGTGGTGCTTTGGGGGAAGATGGGGAGACAGGTGTGGCTCGCTCTTCTCTGTTCCTTTTCAAGCTGATGGCAGCACCGTGCCCATCTGTCCTGCTTGTACTGGTGCACCTCTGTCTGTCGCTGCTCTCTGTCTTCTCCCTTCCCGCTGCCCACAGCGTGCATGACTCTTCATCCTGGCCGCTCCTGCAGTGAGGCCATCTGGCTGGGCTCACAGACTGGCTCAGCTTGGCTTCCACATGAGAGCCACACCCTGGGAGGTGTGCAGAGCCAGACTGCGGTCCTCGTGCCCCCCCCCCCCCCCCCCAGCACTGCCAGTGGGATGCCTGGTCCTGCAGGGCATGCTCCTTTCAGCCAGGGGGAGCAGTGCCTTCCACCTGACCCATCACCACACCACCTTCAGTGGGACCTGGGGGAGTCCTGTGCTGTGAGCTCACTGTGCAGGGAACAGGTGCCCTGGAGAGGCACCTGGGATTCTCCTATCACTCTATCCTATCTACTCTACTCTACTCTATTCCTGTGGGCAGGAATGGCCCTGGGCTGGTGGCGAGACACAGGAAGTTCTTATTCAGGAAGGACAAGAGCAGGATGTAGGCTTTCAAGCTCACTCCTTCCTCTTCCGCCTGTCTTTCATTCTTGTCTTGCACACATGACCCTTCCCTCTGCTCCACAACCTGCTGGCCCCCACTACCAGTCCCCAGAGGAGACAAGTCCCACCTGGGGCCAGCCTGGCTGGGCTTGCCCCGGAAGCAAAGACTCAAATCTGCCGCTGACCTGAACGCACAGGATCCTGAGGTGGCTCAGGGCACTTTTATCGTGTTCCTAGTGCCCTGTGTTCTGGGTCAGTTGAGTGCTTCAGGGCTCCCTTTCCCATTCTCTGCCGCCAGGCTCCCATAGCACCTCTCGCTTTTCCTTCTGCCTGCCTCCTCAAGAATAGTGGGTTTACATTTTCTAAGTGGACAGTACAGTTGGATGGTAGCCTGTGGAGGAGCCCCACCCAGCAGGCATAGCCCCTGCCCTGTCACGCTTGCGAAGGCCAGCACAGAAAGGACTGCACGTCTCTGGCTTGCCCAGCTGTGGGCTCAGGACTTTGAGCCCTGCTAGTCAGTATATCCTGGCTGCCAGTGTCCACTGACAATGGCCGTATGCCCACCCTGGGTCCTGCAGTTGGGCGCTCTGCCCCAGAGCTGAGCGTTTGCAGTAGTAGTGGCCGGCGGCCCATTGTCCATGTGGCCTAGGCAAGCATCCCTGCACTCCCATTGCCTTTTCACCTCTCAGTGGCATCTTTTGAGGAACAGAAGTTCTTCAATTTAACAAAACCCAATTATTCATCTTTTCCTTTATAGTTAATGTTTTTGCACCCCATTTAAGAAGTCCTTGCCAGGCTGGGATGTAGCTCAGTGGCAAAGCCCTGGGTTCGACCCCCAGAGTTCCAAAAAAAAAAGAACTTCACCAAAAAAAAAAAAAAAAGACTGGAAAAAAAAAGTCTTTGCCTTCTGAGGAAGGAGGCTTCTTCCTGCCCAGGTGTGCAATGACATGGTGCAGTCACAGCAGAGAACCTCCTGTCCCACTGCTCAGTGGGGGTGCTGCCGTTGCAGCATGGAGTGTGGGGTGGGCTCTGAGCCTGTGAATTTGAAGAATGAAACCCAGAGACACGAGAGCGAGGGCAAAGTGACGGGGTTTATTAGGGTAGCAGAAAGCAAGCAGGCAGAGCTCCCCAGGGAGGGGCGCCTGGGAGCAGCTGCTGTCTGGGGGTTCATGTGGACCTCCATGGCTGAGGGAGCTGCCCCGACCCGGTCCTGGCCAGGCACTAGGTGTCCACTGCTCTTCGTGCGCTCCCTGGCGCACTCAAGTTACTGAGGCCCTTCTTGGTGGGGGTCTGGGTCCCAGAGAGCAGGCGCCTCACCACGGGTCTTCCCTGGGTACACAGGAGCCGGCCTGACCTGGAGGAGCCAGGTGTCCTGCCTGCTCTGCTAACCCTTTCCCTGCCTCACCACCGTGAGCCTCGCAGATGTGCCCGGTGCCAGCATCTGCCCCTTTTCTCAGTCTGTGCCCGTGCTTAGTGCCAATGCCAAGTTATTTCAGAACGACCGTCACACAGGGTGTCTCAGTGTCTGTGGCATGAGGTGCAGGTCTGCTCTGCCTTGAGGCGTCTTGGCCTCATGGGGTCCTTTTTTCTTATGTGTGCATTTTCAAATCAGACGATTGATTTCTCTAAGATCCTGGGGTATTGAGTGGGGTCTATAGATCTTTGGGGAGAGGTGAAATTCATCCAAACAGTCAGCAGATCTCCTTTATTTCTCTACTTGTTCTTTACTTTTCGTTGTTGTTTTTCACTACCAAGGATTGAATCCAGGCCAGTACTAGACATATGCTGTATCACTGAGCCACATCCCATGCCTTTTTAAAACTTTTATCTTGAGGCAGGGTCTGTCTCAGTTGCTGAGGCTGGCCTCAAACTTAATGATCCTCCTACCTTAGCCTCCCAAGTTTCTGGGGCTACAAGAACTGCAGTTCTTCACCCATTGTCTGCTCTCTTGTCTTCTGCATGCCCGGGACTGCTGTGCAGTGCTGCTGTCCCTGGGGTGCTTCTGCTCCCCACCATCGCCTGCTCTGGGGTTTTGCAGGTGGCTCTTTCTTAGGTTAAAGATGTCGCGTTTTTGTTTAAGAGTTTTTGTCGTGAAAGATACCTCGTCATACACACCTCATGTACATATTGGTACGATTATATAGGCCCCCTTAATTGTCATTAAGTAAGTCACAGCGACCCTCTCGCACCTAGCCGTGGTCCTGGTGCCCCCTCTTCACATGGTTGGGTCTCACCTCCTAGTATCTCGTGCTATGGGTCGTGCAGTGGCCTTGTGCTTGTCTTTGTGTCATGACGTCCTTGTCAGTGTGGTTATCACAGGAGCAGGGCTCCAGAGGTGCTGGGCGCGCCTGTCTGCTGTCTGGGTAGTTCAGGCCATGAGGTGTTTCTTCTGGTTTTTTTTGGTGGACCTGGGGTTGGGAGCAGGGCTTTGCTCTCATGCTCCACCACTGAGCCGCACCCCCACCCTTCCTAGTTTATCTTGAGATACGGCCTTGCCAAGTTGCCCAGGCCGGCCTAAAGAACTGCCATCCTGCCTTGGCCTCCAGTGTGGCTGGGGTCCCAGGCGTGTGCCACCCAGCCTAAGTTGTTCCTTACTGTCGGAAAGGTGGCACTGACGCCGTCTGGGCCTTCGTCTCCTTTGTAGGAAGTTTTTACACCGGATTCACTTTCTCCCACAGACCTAGGATTATCCAGACTGTGTTTTCTGGTTTCTGTTTGGGTTGGGTTGTGCTCTGCAGGGCGTCTGTCACGCCTGCCTGGCATCATCCTTGATGCCCCTGGATGCGCTCTCCTGGATATGCTCTCCGTGTCCCTAACAGTCGTAGAGCTCTCACTTCTTTCATGCCCGAAGCTGGGGATTTTGCCTTTTTTCTTTATCCATCTTGCTAGGGGGTTGTCAGTGTTTTTTATTCTTTTTCTTTTTTCTTAAGAGTTCTGTTGAGTTGTAATTCACACACTGTACTAGTCACCCATTAAAGCCTACATTTTAGTGGTTTTTTAGTTCATTTCCAGAGTTGTGCAGCCATCGTTATGTCAATTTTAGAATTGACCTCAAAAAGAAACCCAGGCTTGGCACAGTGGCACACATGTGTAATTCCAATGGCTCAGGAGGCCGAGGCAGGAAGATCACAGGTTCAAGGCCAGTCTGGGCAACTTAGTGAGACCCTAAGCAACTTAGTGGGATCATATCTCTAAATAAAAATAGAAAGCTGGGCTGGGGATATAGCTCAGTTTGTAAAGTGCTTGCCTCGCATGCTCAAGGCCCCGGGTTCAATCCCCAGCACCACCAATAAAATAAAATAAAAAGCCACTAGCCTTAAGCAGTCTTCTGCCTCTGTATTTGCCTATCTGGGCATCTCCCTTGACCGAGCTGTGTGTCCTCATGCTGCTGGTCTTGGGAACACTAGGTGCTCCCATGTGCTGGTGCTAGCGTGCTTCAGGGTCCCCTCGGTGGCAGAGAACCTGTGCTGTGTGCTTAGGCTTTGCTGCTGGATGGTGGCTCTTTCCTTCTTCCCCTTTCCTTGGGCTTAATTTTTACTATTCCAGCTTCTTGAAACAGATGTTTAGGTTTTTGATTTTTGCCTTTCTTTTCTAACATGAGCTTTCAAGATGACATTTTTCAAGCAGAGTTTAGTTCCATTTGTCATATTTTTATTACCATTCAGTTTAGTATATTTTCTGTCACATCTTGTGACTAAACACTCAGGTGGGCTCATTGGAGTGGCTTCATCTTGAGTCTGGATGCACGAAATAACCACACAGAGACAGAGAAATACCTTTTTCTTTGGGTCATTAAGTAAGTAGCGAACATCCTGAACCCTTTTATTGGGAAGAAGCCATTCTAATGAAGCAAGGGGTCAGGTCTGCCGTCAGGAGATTGACTGACATGTAGGAAGGCCACACCCAAAGGCAGAACAAGAGAACGGGACACACAGAGGGAGTTTCCATGGAACATTCTATCCCAAACAGGGCAAAGGGGTAGGATTACAAAAGAATAGGTGAGTGTAGCTCAACCCCAGGGGCAGGCCCCACAAAGAGAACCTCCTTGCTATCCGAGAGGGGGAAAAGACCGAGTCAGGAGTCATGGCACTACTGTGCCAGACTACAGTGATCTTTCAGATCCCCATGGTGCATCAGGCTCCCCACAATTTTCTAATTTTCATTTGCTGGTCCCTCTTGGATTCATAGGTCTTTAGAAGGATATGGCTTATTTTGAAAGGAGTTAGGAATTTTCTACTACCTGTTTTATTATCAATTTCTAGTGTAATTTAATTGGTTTTGAGAACAAAATAATTCCCACATTTTCCCGGTTGTTGAGAGGTGCTTGGCAGCCCCGCAAGCAGTCTACCTGGTGGTTTCCATGTGTCTGCAGTTGGCAAGTGCCCCTAAGTGCCCTGGGCTCCAGTTGGTGCACCATGCTGCATGTTCTCATTGACCCCTCACTGTTCTGAAAGAGGTGGGTAGAGTCTCCCACTGCTCCTTTGATCTGGTCAGGTTTCCATATAGTGTTAGCGGGAAGGTACAAATCCAGGATTGTGCACCTCCCTGGGGGAGCCAAGTCTTTAACATGATAAAATGTCCCTCAACTACTTTCCCCTTGAATTTGCCTTGTTTGATGTTGGTGTTACTAACCATTTTCTACTTGGTTCAGTCTTTTTTTTTTTTTTTTTTTGAGAGAGAGAGAGAGAGAATCTTTTTTTTTTTTTTTTTTTCAGTTTTCGGCGGACACAACATCTTTGTCTGCATGTGGTGCTGAGGATCAAACCCGGGCCGCACGCATGCCAGGCTAGCGTGCTACCGCTTGAGCCACATCCCCAGCCCAGTTCAGTCCTTTTTGACATATTCAGAATGTGTTCTTTTATAAGCATAAATTGTGCATTTTTGTTTAATTTATTTTGGGTTCTGGGGACTGATATGGATGCTTAACCACTGAGCCACATCCCCAGCCCTTTGTATTCTTTATATTGAGCCAGGGTCTTGCTAAGTTACTAAGGGTCTTGAGAAGTTGCTGGGGCTGGCTTCAAACTTGTGATTCTCCTGTCTCAGCCTCCCGAGTCACTGGGTTTACAGGCCACTGCATCCGACTTGGTCTTTTTTTAATTTTAATTGGAGAATTTCATCCATTTAAATTTAATATGATTATTGGTATATTTAGTTTAAATCTGTTTTCTTTTTATATTTTCTGTGTACCAATTTTTCTTCCACCCCTTTCTTCTCACCTCTAAGGGTAATCAAATTTTTATTATTCTGTTTTTCTTCCAAATACCTTGGTCGCATATTTATTTGTTATTAGCCTGGTGCTTGCCCTGGAGATTGTGTCCTGGTCCTTGACTTGTGTCTACCTTAAAGGAGAATGCCGATTTTTCCCAAGCAGTGCAGAATCTCCATGCCCTTGTTTGATCATTGCTGCTGCTGTAAGGTGTTAGGATTCCTTTAGCTTGACCCAATTTTGGCCTTTTCCAGGGCTCTTCATTCCTACCTATGTTTCTGTGCTTTGACCTGGTGTTGTTTTCCTTCCTCTGAATAAACCCCTTTTGTGTTTCTTTTAGTATGTCTGCTGACAAAAAAAACAAAACAAAACATTTTTCTTCAATTTTGAAAAATGTTTTCAGTGGGCATGGAAGTCCGGCTCTACTCTTTTAGTGTTTTGTGCTGTTGTTCTGTTTTCCTTGGCCTTGCTTGATTCATGTTGAGGTCACCTGTGAGGACTCTTGTACTGTGAAGGTCACTGTCTCTGATCACCACCTGCTTTGGAAGAAGTCCCTTTGTCTTTAGCTTCAGGGGCTAGATTCTGATGTACCTAGATATGTTTTTCTATTTACCCAGGTTGTTATTTGTAGAGCTTCTAGAATTTGTAACTTGATATCTTTTGGTCTGTTTGGGAAAAATCTTGGGTAGTGTCTTATTAAACATCATTTCTGTCCCATTCTCTCTCTCTCTTCCTTCTCTGGGACTTCAGTTACACAGATGTTAGACCTTCGTTTCTTTAGATGTTTGTAATTTCAGTGCTTATTTGTCAATAGGTCCTTCTTGTCGGAATCCCTTTTTTTGCTGAATTTCTCCATCTCATCTCAGCTGTATGAGAGCCCTCTGTATTCTGTGTTCAGATCTTCTGTGGCTGTGTATGGCTTGGTTTTTGTTCATTTGGTCTTGTCTATATCTGGGAAAGTGTGGAGACAGTGGGCATTTTTCCTCCCAAAGGGATTTAATCCTCCTTACCTGTGCCAGGGTGTACCTGCCCGAGGTGGCTGGTCCAGCCTGCTTCGGACTGTGGCAGCATCCAGCTGACACACTCTTTCTGAATGCATAGATGCACACACAGCTCTTTCCTCCTACAGAGCTGGCTCCGAGAGGCCCAGCCTTTGTGCTGTTCAGGGAGTGCCGTGTAGGAAGCTGTGTGCACAGGGTAGGCTCACTGGAGTGGCTTCATCTTGAGTCTGGCTGATTTAGATATTCCTGAATTCTAAATTTTGCCTTGCCATGAGACTGGGTATGCTGGGTAGTGCAGCTGCCCTAAGGAGAAGGCAGAGTGGCGGTGTCTCTGGCTCTCCGCTGTTACCGTTGTTCTTGGCCGAGGAGGCTGCTTCTGCCAGGTTGTGAGCACAGCTAACCTGGGAGGCGGAGGGAGGCCGAGGCTGTGAAAGGCATTTGTGCTCCATGTAGCTTGCCCCTTACGGCCCTCAGGTTGCTGGGCCGCACAAATGCCTTTGGAATCCCAGGGCTACAGGTATAGTGACCACCGAACCCGTGACTGGGCCCTGTAACTGCACCCTGAGATCCCTGCCCGCCCAGTGGTCAGTGGCCTCAGGGCCCTGCACCTGCTGGTGGCGTGCAGCTGAGTGGGATCTGGTCTGGGCCCTTCCTGCACCGCTCCCAGCAGATGGCAGTGTTGGCACAGGCTGTGGGATGGGGCCAGGAGAGGCCTGTGCTGAGCATCTCTGAATCTGGTGGCCTGGCCACGTGGAAGGAGGTTCTCTGTTCAGAGCAGAGGCTTTGAGTAGGCACTTCACAGACTTCACATGTCATAGAAAGAGTGATGTGCAGGATTATACAGAGGAAGCCTCATGGTGGGTTGCCGTAGCCAGCTGTGGCTCTTGGATCTGGTGCACTGTAGGAGTCGGACAGTGGAGTCATGACGCACTGGCTCTTCTGTGGACAGACGAAGTGGGCCAGGAAGGGGCACCCACAAGACCCACATCAGTTTTGTCAGATACATGCTCTCCATTGCAGCTTAGGGCTGGCAGGAAGGTAGCCCTGGGTAGTGTGCAGGAGCAGGGCAGGCTATTCACGACACGGGAGTGGGTCCTTGTGAGACCCATGTTCTGGGGAGACTGACCCTACCCCAGATTATGTTCAGGATCTGTTAGAACTTGGCCGTTGTGGGGCCCACCAGGTTCTGTTTCAGAAAAGTTGGAAAGGAGGTTCTGAGTCAAACCTTCTTCCCTTTCACATTCTTCTTCTTCTTTTGTGTTTTTTTTTTTGGTACTGGAGATTGAACCCAGGGGTTCAATCTGCTGAGCTATACCCACAGTCTTTTTTAATTTCTATTTTGAGACAGGGTCTTGCTAAGTTGCCCAGACTGGCCTTCTACTTGCGATCCTCCTGCCTCAGCCTCCTGGGTCGCTGGGATCACAAGTTTGTGCCATCATGCCTTTCATGCCTCTTTGACAGTCTTAAACATTACAGCCAGCTATATGCTTTTGCACAGAGCGGTGGAATGAGGGTAGCTCAGGGGAACCTGTTTCTGGAGCCTCTGCCAGCTGCACTGTTCACTTGGGTGGGCAGGAAGAATGGTTTCTGGTGTCCCAAGAGGCTATTTCTACTTCAGCTTCTGGTGAGGGCTGGGAATTATGCTGGACCAGGAGTGGGAGCCAGATGTGGAGGTGCACACTCGTAGTCCCAACTACTTGGGAGACAGAGGCAGGAGTCACAAGTTTGGGGTCAGCCTGGGTAACTTAGGTGGGCAGCCCTGTCTCAAAATAGAAATGAAAAGAGCTGGGAATGCAGCTTAGTGTAGAACACCTCTGGGTTTGATCCTCAGTCACGATGGTGGCAGGGTGGAGCAGGAATAGGAGTTAACCTCTGAGTTTGGTTTCTTGATTCTTTTTTTTAGTTGTTGATAGACCTTTATTTTATCTATTTATTTATGTGGTGCTGAGACTCGAAGCCAGGGCCTCACACATGCCAGGCAAGTGTGCTGCTGCTGCCCAGCCCCTGCCCTGGTTCCTTGATTCTTTTTTTTTTTAATATTTATTTTTTAGTTGTAGTTGGACACAATACCTTTATTTTATTTATTTCTATGTGGTGCTGAGGATGGAACCCAGGGCCTCACACACACTAGGCAAGCGCTCCACTGCTCAGCCCCAGCCCCAGCCCCCCACCTTTTTTTTTAAATTCCTGGTTGATTCCTAGTTTCAGTTGCCATTGCAAGAAAATGGAGGAAGGATAGTCTGAATACCTCCCTGGCAAGCAGGGACCATGATTGTATAGATAGTGGGTGTCAGGACTGTGTAGACAGTTGCCCCAGTGTTGGAATACCATAGCCCTGGGATTCCAAACGCAGGCAGTGGGCCTCAGGGCTGTCGATAGCAAGTGTTGGTGCTATGCAGGTAGTGGTGCTCAGAGCCCCTGTGCCCCCTGACATAGTGCCTGCACAGCCAGTGCAGGGCAGGTTGCTGAGTGCTGGGACCTTTGCTGTGGTGGAGCACCCTGGGTTCTGCTCTAGATTGTGCTGTGAGCTGGGCTGGCATTCAGAGCAGTAGGGACCTGCAGAAGTATGGGTGCTGGATTGTCCTCCTCCTTGGGCACTTGGTGGTCCCACTCCTCTATCCTGAGGTGCGTCATTGCCTTCAATACCCTCTCTAGTCCCCTGGGGCCTTGGAATGGTGGTGTCAGGTCCTCCCTTGCATATCTGAGTCCTCTTGACTTTTCTGTGGACACCTGCTCTAGGCTAGACTCAGCACCCTAAGGTTTGTTTTTTGTTGTTGTTGTTGTTGTAGTTTTAGATTTTTAGCTAACAGACAGCAGACACTGAATGGCATTATTGTTTTCTTATTTGTGCTGCAGGCAGAGCTAGGGCCTTGTACCTGTTAAACAGTTTACCACTGAAATACACACCCCCAGCCTGTACCCATCTCCTAGGAGTCTGTGTGTGCTGGCACCTGGCAGGCACTGAGCAAGTCCTTGAGGAATGGAGCATGATTGTGGTGGCTTGCACATTTCCATGCTGTTGTGGGCAGAAGACCTTCCATGGAGTGGACACTTGAGTGGGCAGGTGCACGGGAGCTGCTCTGTGAAGGCCCTGTCCTCCTGAGGATCATAATGAAGCCCCTGCCATTTCTGGTTCCCCTGACCTGGCTCCACACCTCTTCTTGCAGTCCCTTGTCCTCCCTCAGCACCTGGGGATTGGAAGGTTCAGACAGGCCTGATGTGCCACCTCAGCCTCCTTGATCAGGTGTTGAGCTTAGGTGTGGCAGACTAGGCTCAGCCCCTGGAGGTGCAGTTCTGATAGTTTTCATGAAGATGCTCCTTAACTCCGGCTGCAGACATGCTCCTTGATCTCAGCGACCTGCTCCAGGTAGACCACTTTCCCCACTGGAAGGGTTGATGGGCATAGCCTGCACCTCCACATGGAGGTACTCTGTGCTGCCTGTTGCAGTGGGAAGCCTCCATCTGCAGGGTGGAGAGGCTCAGGTGCTGCAGGCTGGCTCTGCAGGGGTGGGAGAGGGTCACTGTGCTGTCCTGGTGCTGCTCAGGGCTCAGATGGCTCAGCACGAGAACCACTGGAGAGAACCATGTGAACTTTGTTCTTAGGAAATGGAGATTCCTTAAAAGCAAAGGAAAAAATTGGACTCTCATGTATGTGTCTTAAACTATGGGAAAATTCATGTGTGCTTTCTGAGCTCAGAGAAAGCAATTTTTGTTTGATTGCTTGTTTCCAAACAAATGAACATTGTGGGAAGATCTTCCCAGAGATGCTCACAGTGTGAGCAGGCCCCATGACCCCACATTGTGTCCCCACTGATGGCTTTCAGGGGCTAGCCGGGGACTGACTCAAGGCCCTTAGCCCATGACTTGGATTGTGGCAGAGCCCTCAGGCCTGTGGTGATCACTACTGATGACCGGGAAAGAGATGTCATAAAAAATGAAGCTGATGGCACTGTGAGGATGCCACATTAAAGAGAAGTCTTCTGGGGTGCCCCCAGGGTCCTGAGAGCCTGTAGGCCACTGGTGCATGGGCTTCAGTGCCCTCCTATAGTAATCAGCAGTTTACCTCCACCTGGGTCAGATGGAACTTTGTATTTTTGTCCTCCCAGATGTCTTCATAAATGGTATCTCTCAGCAGCTACTGCTGAAATACTGTGGTAAAACTGAACATGACCTGTTGGGATTGCGATGATCCAGTGACTCCACATTTCACATGCACTGCACTCAGATCCAGGCAAGGCCATGACCCTGGCTTTACCCTGGTGGCTTCCTAGGAGAGATGGGCACCAGGGCCAGACAGCTACAGAAGTGACTTGGGCACTGCTTGAATGCAGAGTGGGATATGCCTGTTGGCTCTGGCTTCACAGCCTGTGCGGTGGGAAAACAACCAGCTTGCTAAGACAGAAGGTGGGCAGTGAGGGCTGAGGTTCCCACGCAGGACAGGGAGTCACATAGCCAGGGTGGACACGATACTGTTTGACATTTTTTTTTAATATATTTATTTTTTAGTTGTAGTTGAACACAATATCTTTATTTCACTTATTTATTTTTATGTGGTGCTGAGGATGGAACCCAGTGCCTCACGCATGCCAAGTGACCGCGCTACCACTTGAGCCATATCCCCAGCCCACTGATTGACCTTTAACAGCTCATGGGCAAAGCCAAGTGCAAGGCCTGGCACCTGCAGGAGGCTGGGCCATGTGGCAGCTTTTGGTGTGAGGAGCCAGCAAGAGGAGACTGGCAAGGTGGGCCCTTCGCTGGAGGGGCCTACAGCTCATACCTTTGTTCCTCTGAGATCCCTCTGCCCCCAGGAGCTAGGGTGGGACTGGCATTTCAAGGGACAGGTATATTTGCACTTGTCTGGGTCATTGAGGACCTCACTCAGGATTCTGGCAAGGGCTGACTGCTTTGAAGAAAGGTTAGTAGGACTGAAGTCGAGAGACCACCTTGAGTTTAGATGTCATTTTAGTTCTTGCTTATGCATCCTAAAGGTTAAACCTCTCCTTAGCATAAAACTCAAGATCAGTGACCCCCTGGCTGGGACTGTGTGAAGGGACCTGGTGTTCCTGGGCAGGAAACCGTCTGGGTCCTCCCATGGGCCCACGAGGAAGACCTCTTAATCCCTTCCTGTGGCAAAGGGTGCTCACCTGCCCAGATGCACAGCCTCTCAGAGGCCAAGCCAAGGCCCATGACAGTGGTCTGGATGCAGAATGCACTTCCAGCCTGGGGGATTAATGGGAGGGCTGGTTAGCTGTGTCCAGCCTATGTTGCCTGTCCATAGAGAGGAGGAGCCATCAGTCACAAGCTCAGGAGAATGAACTGTTAAAAAACTATTAGGGGACAATTTCTAATAAACAGTACTCATAAACAGCAGGATCTCTGGAATCTCGGTGTGGTGATATGCACCTGTTTTCCTCAAGGACTGCTTGAGCCTTCAAGACTAACATGGGATCTCTGGGAAGAGCTGCGTGCATATATATACATGCGTAGCTTTTTGTTTGTTTTTGTGGCACTGGGGATTGAACTTCAGCCCTTTTTGTTTTGAGACAGGGTTTCACTGAGTTGCTAGGCTAGTCTTGAACTTGTAATCCTCCTGACTCAGCCTTCTGAGTAGCTAAGTAGCTGAGATTACAAGTGTTTGCCCAGACATGCATAGTTTTTAAATCTTTGACTTCCTGTTGAAGCCCCTTCAGAGACCTCTTTTCTGCATCATTCAGGTCTCATCCATTTGGGATTATGAGGTGGACAGGTAGAAATCAGCCTTCTAGTGGGACCTGGATGTCCTTGCAGAGGACGGAAGTGACTTGCACAGGAATCCTGGTGGGGTCTAGAACAAGGGCGGGAGTACTCTTGTGAAGGGTGTGCCTACACTGCTGCCAGTACACGTGGACACACTGTGCATGTGCACACATCACACGTCAGGTGTGCATGTACTCACATCAGGCATATGTACCCACACCGTCGTGCACTTACACATACCACATGTCCACACATACCACCTTTCAGCGAGAGACCCCAGGAACTCCTGGACCCTGGAAACACATGGTGGAGCTCTTTTAGAAGGTATTCTGCAAGCCACCAGCCCTTAGGGTAGAGGGCACTTTGGAGACAGCTGCATCCAGCCAGGACTGGGGGTGACCAGTGAATAGTCACCCACTGCCTGGACGGGGAAGCCAAGCCCTGGCCTTCCCAACTGGACAGGCTCCCAGAGCTGACATGTCCCAAGCACTCCCTCCAGTTCCTGCCTCTAATGTAGACACCCTGGTCTTGCCCTTGAAGTTTGTAAACACCTGGGGGGTTGGGGGGAATCACCTTTGTGCAGGAAAAGAGGCCTTGTCCAGGGCTGGGCTTGAGCCAGATGAGGAATTGTTTTGGGAAGGCAAAAGGACCAGACTAATCACACCTGTGAAGCCTGGGAGTTCCAGGGACAAGCCTAAGAACAGGTGTCACAAGCTCAGGCTGACACCAAAGCCCTGGCATGGGCCTAGGGTGGGAACTGGGCTTTCCCTGCCCTGCATATTGTTCAAGATAACAAAGGCTTGTCCCACCCATCTTTTCCCACTCAGAAGCATCCTCCCAACAGCCTGCCTGTGCCTCTGGTCAACGTTGGGCTCCCCAGGGGAGCCTGGCTGCACCCAAGTGCTGAGCCATGTCCTGGGAGGTTCTAGATTCTGACAAGCAATGGTGCTCCCACCACCAGGCAGCCCCCAGGACAGTCCTCCTCCCTGTGACTCCTTCCCTGCATGTGTCAAGAAGAGAGCAGGGCAGCAGGCCTTGAGGTGGGAGCAGTGGAGGAACAGATAGGATCCTGCAAGGCATTTGAGGCCAAGGAAGTGTCGCACGTCCACGTGTTGCCAGCAGGTCTTGATTCTGAATGAGTGCACTGTGCACGGCTCCATCACACCAAAGGGCACCCTCCAGGTGGGGCATTCTAAGCAGATGCAGTCATTGGCAGGACAATGGAGTGGAGCCTAGGTAGTTAACACGGAAGAAGGGAGTCTCCATTACCTGGAGGTCAGGGGAGATGGCTGGCTCTGAGGCATGGGTGGAAGCGTGCTCCACTGGCCAGCTGGCGGCTCTGATCATGGATTCTTAAAAGAAACCAAACTTTTTCTTAAAACACTAATGTATTTCTGGCTGTGCTCTTGTTGCCACAGGTGAATGTGTACGTGCTGGGGAAGACATTTCTGCTCTTGGCGAGAGAGCTCTGCATCAACGCACCAGCCATAGGTATGCTGCGCCTGGGTGGGGTTCTGCAGGGCCTCTCAGATCTGGCATGCCAGGGTGCCCAGCAGGGTGGGAGGGATGCCACCTCAGAAGTGCAAGACTCCTAAAATCTCTCAGGAGCAGAGCCGGGCTATACTGCTGGTACAGAACCAGAAGGCACAGTGCCAAGTATAGACCAAGCATACGTGGAGGAAAGGGCACGTGGCGCAGCATGCTGGGAGCCCGTCTTGTTTGAACAGGTTTGAGGAACACACCTGCCCACCAGACGCCTTTAAGAAGGCAGGGTGTTCTCACAGACGGTATGAGGGGTGGTTCTAGGAGGCAGGTGCTCTCTAAACTCTTCTACCAAGACTGGTTTCCTTGGCTTGCCCATCAGCACCTGGCATTGTCTTCTTATGGTGAAGAGGAACCACCTGGGCCAGAGTGGAGGGCTGGGCCCCTGGTGTTGGGTCAGTGGGACAGTCTAGTGCACACTGGGCTGAATCCATGCCCTAGAAGCCACAGCATTGCCCACAGGGCCACCCCTCCCTTTGGAGGTCAGGCAAGTACCATGGAGTGCTGGCATGGGACAAAGGCCAGTGCCTAGAGTCAGTTCCACCCTGGTACACCCCACAGCAGGGAGCAGTGGCCTAGCACCAAATCTGTCTCCTGCAAAGGGTTTGTCTGAGGTGCCACTGATACTGTGGGAAGTGGAAACAGCCAGACAGTTGTCCTATAGAGCTCTGGCCATAACCAGAGAGGGGAAGCCAGCCCATGAGCAACGCCCTGAGGGACAGATGAGTTCCCCTGGGTAACCACTCTGCCCTGCTCAACGCCACAGGCTTTCTCCCAACAATGCCAGCTGTGTGAGGGAAGGCCCAGGTCCCAAGTGCTATAGTCACTGATCTACACTGGGCTCTTCGTTTTGTGAAACCTTTATTATGAAAATCCACTTAAATAGATGAACTACTTTAAGTGACTTTTCAGTAGTTTTGGATTTGAAGGGGAAGGTCTCAAGGTAAGCTTGGAACCTCATGGAATCAAAAAAGATGGGAGGCACATCCAAGCATCCAAAGCCTGAGCACCACTGTGTGGGATTTGGCCAGGTCCTACACTGAGTCCCCAGTCTGCCCTCTGCCTCCAGTGTGCACTCCAGTGTATAGGAGACACTCAAGACTTGGCCACTAGGCTCAGGCCGAACAGAAAAAGCTCTTACTTCCCACACTTGGGCTGAATAAGAAAGGGAAACCTTTGATGTCAGGCCCTGGGCAGCATCCCACGCATCCCACACCTCCCCTGCACTTACTGGGGGGGGCTCACCCTCTCTAGGCCCCTCACAATCTCAGGCATAGAAGATGAGCTCTGGGATCTGCCCACCCTGGACCCCTGTCCCATTGGTACTATCTGAAGAGCACTGGAACTGGAAAGCCACCTTCCCACACTGTACTTCCGTCATCCCTTCCTGCCCAAAGTAGCTAAGCTCGCTGCCGTCCAAGACAGCGCTGGCAGTGTAGAAGGTGTCCTGTTCAACCTGGACTGGGTGCTCAAACCAGACCGGGAAGGTGTTACTGGATCCATCCGACACAAACTTGGTCAGGTTCTGAGCCAGGACCATCCCCAGCCGCTTGAGTTCAATCTTTACAGTGTACTCAGCCTTCCCAGAGCTGGACCCGTATAAGCCCAGACCTGCTATAAACACCCTTCTATCCACGGCAAACTGGATGCTGTCACAGCGCCCACGGTACCGCCACTGGTTGCTGCGGTAGGCAGAAGACTGGAAGCGGTGGCACCTCTGTGGAGCAAGGCCTTTCCTCTTGGTCAGGGGAAAGTCAAGGAGGGGCTTGTTGGCAGCTGTGTACCACAGGAAGATGTTGTGGGTCTCCTCCAGGGTCAGGATGTCTGACTGGGCAGCACCATTGGCAAACTCCTCCAGAGTCATGGTTGGGATTCGGACCAGATAGAGGGCTCGCCCCAATACGTGCCTCTTGTTATGGGGGGTGGCTGGCAGGCCCTGCCTTCTGCACTCTGCTTCAGCCCAGTTCAGGACAGCTTCAAAGACCACTGCCTCTTTAGTGTTGAGGGCCTCACGGGTCACGATGATCTCCAGGGTCTGCCGGTCAATTTCACAGAAGCCTTCCGACCGAAGGGCCATCTCAGCCTGTGCATCAATGACCTCCCAGCAGCGCTGGGTCAGTTCAGGTTCCTCAAACAGCCGGCTCTGGGACAGCAGGACGCATGCATTTTTGGCTTCCAGGCTTGTCTCCAAAAAGGTGACACAGGCTTTTGCTAGCGCAGGCACAATGTACTTCTTAGCAGCATACAGAGTCGCCAGCACCGTGTCAGCCTCCAACTCGATCTCATCACTGTACATGTACCTGGGCAGGGCAGGGACCTGCGTCGGGGGAGGGGGCCTGCTCCAGCTGGCCTGGGTGAGGAGCCTATGGGCTCCTGTGTGTGTGTGCCCTCCCGGGGAACTTCAGGAACCACCCCATCCTTCCAGCCCGTCAAGCAGAGCACTTACTTTAACAAGACCAGGAATGCCGCGGGCTCCACGTCAGGAATGTGGATTTCGGACTTGACCTCTGCAAGGTCCCCATAGAACATAGCATAGAAGACAGAGCTGCCGACTGCCAAGACGTACTGTGGTTGGAAAAGAATCTCGTGAGCCACAGGGCAGTAAGGCAGGCCTGGGAAGGATCTGTCCAGCTACAGGCCAGCCCAGGGACAGCTGTGCCTCTACCCACCTTATGAGCGGGCACCCGCCTGGCCGCCCCCAGCGGCCCCACGATGAAGTGTACATCTGCCATGAGCTCGTTGTTGAACATCAGCGCGTTCCTGCAAGCGCAGAGGCACAGGGCTTGCACGGGGAGCGCACAGAGCCGCGGGGGGGTGCGGGCCGGCGTGCGGGCGGCTCACCTCTCGCGCAGCGTCGGATGGAAGGACTGCCAGTTAGGGCTCTCAGGGTTGTTGTTGTCGGGGGCGGGCGGCGCGGGCGCCGGCGGTGGCGGGGCGGGCGCCGGGCGGGGCGGGCTGCGCGGGCTGGCTTTCCTGCCCGTGGCCGCGCCAGCGGCGTTGCTGTTGGCGATGTCGGTGGCGGTGGCGGCGGCGGCAGCAGCGGCCGCTCCGGCTGGCGGATACAGCTCCGCGGCCATCTTCGTGCGCAGAGCGTGGGGGGCGGCCTCCGCGCTCGGCGGTGTCGCGCCGCGCGTCCTCGCGCCGCGCCGGGGCCTGGGAGGCGGCTCTGCGAGCACCAGCAGGGAGGTCAGGCACTGCGCCACCCGCCCGTGCAGGCAGGCCAGCGGCAGCAGCATGGGGCCGCGCGGCGGCGGGCGCTGCTGCCCCCGCCGCGGCCCTCCCCGAGGCCTCGGCCCGCCCCGGCTCCCACGGCCCGCACGGGGCCCACCCGCCCGGTGCCCGCCCCTCCCGGAGCCCGCGGCCCGGCCGCAGGGGGCGCCGTCCCGTCCGCCCGTCCGCCCGTCCGCCCTCGCCCGTACCCGCCGCGGCGCCCGTGCGACTCGGCGCGTCGCTGCGCGTCACAGCGAGCGCCCGAGGCCCCGCCCGCCCCGTCTCCGAGGACGCCAGGCTCCGCCCCTCGGCGACTTGGCCCCGCCCCGCCCTTCAGGATCCCTAGGCTCCTCTCGCAGACCCGCCCAACTCCCGCGGGAGGCGGTGAAGCTGTGTGGTGGGATGTCTGGCTGATACCGCGGCGGTACCCTCCTGGGACCCGAACGCCCCGCTCCTTCCCGCCTTACGTCGGCACGCTTTTCTGTCACCCAGAAATGAGAATGCAGAAACTTGGGTGTTGCAGAAAAACCGACGCAGCTTATTCCGCTCCTCGCTGGAGGACGTTACTCTGAGCAGCTTGGCGACGCCCTGAGGTCCCCTCCCAAGCTGCGAGTTGCTGCCGGGGCGCCCCGCAGCCCTGTCCTTACACCCGTCTCGGTGAGGACTTGGCGTGGGACCTGGCCGCCTCTCTTGCTCCTTAGGGCTTCTAGGCATCCAGCTGGGACCATGCCTCAGTACCCCGTCTCCGGGAAGTTGTGGTGTTTTTTTTTGTTTTTGTTTTATAGACATCAGTGGTGAGATGTTGTCTCAGAATCCTGTTTATTTAGGGGCTTTTAGGACTGGGGGGGGGGTTGCCAACTCATTGTGCCCCGATTAGTTTGTTGTGCCCCCTCCAGAATATGCGAAATGGTTCCTCGGCCTTGCTAATAATCCACTTTCTTTCTGACCTTTGGTAATTCATGGGAATTTATATCACATTGTCTTCGTTTGCATTTCTTTGACTGTGAATACAGTTGAACATGGTTTTGTGTTTGTTGCCCTTTTGTATTTTGTTCTGAATTTTATTTTTGTGTTTTACCGTTTTTTTAAAAACAGATAGTCAGTAGTCTTTTTCTACTTTGAACACGCTTGGTAATTTAGATCATTGCAGACTAGAAGCAACCACTCATTGATGGCCTTTCCACCCTGCCCTGAGTGCTTTACATAAGCCTGCCCCAAAGAAGAGGGAGAAGGCAGAATTGTCATTTTCTTTGAGAGAACAGGCATTAGAGGAGTTAGTAATGTGCTCAGGGTCACACAACAGGTGGGGGTTGGTCCTAGGCACCCCGCCAGCCTGGGCTGCTGGGGAACTCCTCTGGCCTCTGGGACAGTCTGATATAATCCCACCTCTTGCCTGGGGATGATTCCAGCTGTCAGTGTTTTGAAGATGCCGGCAGGCCCAGTGTGAGGGTCTCCAGTACTCTCCATAAAGCTTGTTGGTAGCTTTGAACTGAGCCTCAGTAGTTGGTGACACCTGGCACACCCAGGCCCAAGAATGGAGCATAAATTTCCATTTCTTTCCATGGTTATCTAAGTGTTCAACCTCCTCAATTTGGAGAATGTTGTTTTCAGAAGGTATCTCCCATATTCCTGACAACGGGACTCTCCAGAACACAAGTCAGGATGAAAAAAAGACCAACAACCCAGTTTTTAAAAGTGGGCAGAGATGTGAACAGACACTGCCTAGGAGGCAAGTGAGCCTGTGGACAGTGCACACATGATGAGTTAGCTGGGGTGAGCTGCCGAGTCCCCCAGGTGGCTGAGCTCAGGACGGCTGAGGATGCCAGGCGCTGGGATGACAATGTGTGTTGCATCTGGCATTTTGGAAAGATGGTCCAGAAAATCCCAAGAGAAAAAGTGCACATGCCCACCTTGGATACAGAAGCCACAGCAGCATTTCACACTGTCAGAGCCCACTCTCAATGGTGCGCTGTGGTTATGTCCCAACCATTCTCAGAGAAAATGATAAAGGGCATGAACAGTTTTTAGCAAAAAGAACAAATGGCCAGAATGGAAAGAGTCCACATGTCTATCAGCATCAGAAAGGATGAACAGACTGGAGGGTTCATGCAGTGGGCATAGCGAGAATGAGCTGCGGGGGCCACACGCCAACCCTGAGCAGACAGCTGCCTGGGGAGGCGGACAGCATCCTGACCTGAGGGTAACTGTGGGGATGTGAACACCTAAAACCTTATACTTAAATAAAAACGAAAAGTTACCCCTTCCATCTTGTGTCTTAAATGTGTTATAACATTATGTACAGTAGTTACTTGATTTAAAAAAGTTTCTACTTCTGTATTCAGTCCTTTTATAGTTCCTAAAGCTTGTTTATATTTTTTGATTAGACTTGGTGGAGATTTATATGTTTATTGATCTTTTTAGAGTAGATTTTATTTATTCTTTATTGCGGTAAAACAATTTATTTTAATTTTTTGCAGTGCTAAATCCTTGGCCATGTGCATGCTGGGCAAACGCTTCTCCTCAGAGCTGTCCACCCCAGGCTCTCAACAGCATTGAGGGTACAGAGCTGCCTGGGCTCTGAGCACGGCGCTGCACGGCGTGTCTCAGGGCTGCTCGTCTCTCATGGCGAAGCCCTGTTGAATAAACCCTCCCATTTCCCTCTTCCCAGCTCCTGTGGACCACTGTTCTACTCTCTGTCTATGTGAGTTTGATGACTCTAGGGACCTCACGTATGTGGGATGGTACAGTCTTTGCCGTTTTGTGTCTGGCTTACCCCTCTGGACCTAATGTCCTGAAGGTCCGTCCAGTGTTGTGATATGTCAAGGTTCCTTTCCAGTTTAAGGCTGAGTGATATTCCAGTGTGTGTGTGTTACCACTTTGGCTTATCCATTCATCCATTGATGGACTCTTGGGTTGCTTCCATGTTTAAACTGTGGTTTTATGTTGCTGTGACCATAGAAGTGCAAATGGCCCTTTGAGATCCTGCTTTCAGTTAGGGGTTTCTACCTAGAAGTCAAATGCTAGAACATATGGTAGCACTATGTTTAGTTTTTGTTTTGTTTTCTGGTATCAAGGATTAAATCCAAGGGTGCTTAACCATTGAGCCATGCTCTCAGCCCTTTTTATTTTTTATTTTGAAACAGGGCCTCTCTAAGTTGCTGAGGCTGGCCTGGAACTTGCAATACTCCCGCCTCAGCCTCTGCGTCACTGGAATTACAGGTGTGCACCACTGCACCCAACTATGTTTGGTTTTTTGAGGCAACTTCATAGTGGCTTTTCCTTAGTAGCTGCACCATTTTACATTCACGACAACAGTGTGCAAAGTTTCCAGATTCTCTGTATCCTCACCAACTTTACAGCCTTGTTTTTGGTAGTGGCCATGCTGATGGGTGTGAGGTGGCGTCTTCTGGTTTTGGTTTACGTTTTCCTGGTGGTTAGTTTTGTTGGGCATCTTTCCATGTGCTCCTTGGCCATTTGCTTATCTTCTTGTGTTTTTTGTTTGTGTGTGGTTTGTGGTCTGGGGATTGAACCCAGGGGTGCTCTCACTGAGCTACATCCAGCCCTTTTGCTTTGAGACAGGGCCTCATTAAGTCACTGAGACTGGTCTTGAACTTGCGATCCTACTGCCTCAGCCTCCAGAGTTGCTGGGAGTACAGGCGTGAACCACTGTGCCCAGCCTGCATGTCTTTGGTGAAATGTCAACTCAAGTCCTTCGCCCATTTTCTAATCAGCTTATTTGTTTTTCCTTGTTATTGAAGTATTCAAATTCCTTCTGTATTCTGGTCTGCAGACATTTCTCTCCCATTCGATACACCTGATAAAAAACTCCTTGGCTTGGTATAGAAACCTTTGAGGTTGAAGTAGTCCTGTTTGTCTATTTCTGCTTTTGTGGCCCTTGTTCTTGTCCAAGAAGTCATTGCCAAGAACAATGTCATAGAACTTTTCCTGATATGTTCTTTTAGGGGTTTTATCTATCTATCTTTCTTTCTTTCTTTTGCTTATATGTTAACCTGTTTTGTTTTCATTTTTTCTTTTGATTTCGCAGTGTTGGGTTGAACCCAGGGCCTTGTGTAAACTAGGCAAGCACTGTACTGAGCTGCATCCCAGTCCTGCTAATCTGTTTTGAGTTAATTTTTGTACATATTGTAGGATAAGGGTCTGTCTTCACTGTTCTGCATATGAAAATCTAATTTTTCCTGCACCATGTATTGAAGAGGTTATCCTTCCCTCACTCGTCTTCTCAGCACCTTGTTGAAGCTCTCTTGGCTGTAAATGCAAGGGTTTATTTCTGGACTCTCTTGTTTTGTTCCATTAGTCTATGGATCTGTCTTTACTGGTTTTATTTATTTATTACTTAGTTTTCTTTCTTTTTTTTTTTTTTAAAGAGAGAGTGAGAGACAGAGAGTAAAAAGAGAAGTTTTTAATATTTATTGTTTAGTTATCGGCGGGCACAACATCTTTGCTTGTATGTGGTGCTGAGGATCGAACCCGGGCCGCACGCATGCCAGGCGAGCGCGCTACCGCTTGAGCCACATCCCCAGCCCCCTTAGTTTTCTTTATTAGTTTTTTTCTTACTCTTTTTTTCACTTACTCTTTTTTTCTGGTCTGGTGATAGAACCCAGGGGTGCTCTACCACAGAGTTATATCCACAGCCACCCCTTTTTATTTTTTGAGACAGGGTCTCACTGTGTTGTCCAGGCTGGCCTCAAACTTGTGATCCTCCTGCCTCAGCCTCTGTAGTACCTGGAATTACAGGCCTGTGCTACCACACCGAGCCCTTTTTTGCCTAGCTTTAAGGATTTATTTTGTTAATTTTTGACTTCTTATTGTTTAACTGCTTGGCTTTCTTTCTTTACTGTTTCTTCCTCAGTCTTGAAAGTCCCTAGGTCTATCAGGTGCCTGGAGGGTCACTCAGCCGTGGTGAGGAGGGGAGCCTGCTTGTCCTCAGTTTTGTGGCAGTGTGGTCAGAGGCCTCTGCTCTGAGGTCTCCTTTGTCTAAACTGTATTAAATGTGGGTTTCTTCCTTCTTTAACACACAGCCATTTGTGTAACTGCTCCAGACTTTGGGGAAAGGACTACTCTAGAGGGTCTGGGACTTCGACCTGGTTGTGGAGTGGAGTCCCAGAGGGTGTGTCTGCTTCCCCATTAGCCTTGGTTCCTAGGCAGTCTCACATTTGAGAGGGCTGTTACAGGCGCCCATGGTTGGGGTGGCTTTTGAAGTCTGTTTCCAGTACTTCTTGCTCATGGTACTCTTCTCTGTCCCTGTGCATAGGGATGTGTGGCTGTCTTATCTGTCACACAGTGCTCACCTCTGTCCCTTTCAACACCCTTCTGCCTGTTGCCCACTTAGCTGGCTGCATCACGGCTCTCATCGGGGCCTGTCCTTTATCTTTTGGCAATATTTTGGTGCCTTCTTCTTTGAGCTGATGAGGGATTTAATGGACATCATGTGATTTACCTATGGGTTTGTTTTTGTTTTACCTGGTTTTCCTCCTTTCCTAGTTGAAGGGCCCATGCCCTATCCTGGTGACCTGGCTCATTTGTCTTGAAATTCTTACCACTATTTCTTAATCAACATTTCAAGGACTAACGTCTGAGTCCCACCCAGATCAGAATGAGATCTTGTAGCACATCTCTGATCTCTGGTTCTGATGGCTTATTTTATTGAAAATAGATACAAATCTTAATTTTAAAGGGTCTCTCATTTTTCTGTGAATTATATCTTTTAGCAACTATATCACCAAAAGTTTTTTAAAAGGGCAGTAGCTGTGGACTCAGGCCCGAGCCCCGCTGTGGTAGGTGCCTCATGGTCTCAGGCAGGTTGCATGGCCTCTGTCCTTTTCTCACCTGAGAAAGGGGATGGGTATCCACAGCTGCCTGAATTGGACCCCTGGGGATGGCTACTAGGATCCTGGGACAGCAGCCTGGGATAGTCACAGCTGTAGGCCATCAGTGTAGGATGTGGTTTGGGTCCACTCCTGGGCTCGTGTTGCTCCTGACTCAGCCTCCTGAGTCGCTGGGACTGCAGGTGTGTCACCATGCCTGCCTCTCTTTCCTGGTCTTTCAGTTGGCCGGTGATGGAGCTCCTTAGAGGATCTCGTGGGGTTTCAGGGACCAGAGCTCAGCTTTACAAGGAGGAGGTCAGCTGGAGGCCTGGGAGGAGGGTGGTGGGTGTTGCCCATGCTCCTGTCTCCCTCCTCTGCCTGTTCATCTCCATGATGGCCCTACCCTCCTCTGCTGCCAACTGCAGTGCTTGCCTGCTGCCACAGTGACTTTCCCAGCCCCTCTTCCTCAGGCTTTGCTTTGTGGCCTCTCTTCAGCAAGGTTTCCCTGGACAGCCCACTTGTGGTTCTTTCAGTGCACTCAGATGTGCTGATGGAGCGAGATCAGATGACCTGGTTATTCCTACAAACCTGTTGCGAGCTCCACTTCCTTCCTAGCACCCAGCACAGTGCCAAGCACTGAGGCTGATGAGGCCCCAGGCCCCACTTGCCCTCCAGTGCTCCTGCACTGGGAGGGTGGCATGTGTGGAGCCCACACTGCCTGCTCTTTTCCCACCTCCCCTCTGAGCGCCAGAGACTGTTGCATCTGCGTGGCTCAGAGGCTCCCCTCAGCCTGGCTGTGGGAGGGCAGGAGCTGTGTTCTGGTGCAGTGAACACAGTGGCTCCCACAGCAGCTGTGTCTCAGGGGTGGGGCTTGGGGGCTCAAGTGCACAGAGAGATGGATAATGGTCAACTCCAGTTCAGGGATGCTGCTTGATCTGAGTTATTTGTCCTGTCTGTCACTGACTGTGTGTGCATGCATACTGAGGGTTGTGTCTGCCACAGACCCCTGCCTCTACATCCCACGCTTTGCCCACCTGCTGGAGTTTGGGGAGAAGAATCATGAGGTGTCCATGACAGCTTTGAGGCTCTTGCAGAGGATGAAGAGGGACTGGATGCACACAGGCCGGCGCCCTTCAGGCCTCTGTGGAGCAGGTACGGTGGGAGCCCCAAGCCTGGCCTTGTGGTTACAGTCCCACTGGCTGGACTGCAGACACTAGTGATGTTTTCTATCCTGACCCTGGTGTGTGTGTGGAGCCAGGGGTTGGCATGGGGAACCCAGGCACCAAGCCTGTGAGGCAAGTATTTTCCGATAGAGCTATCCCCAGACTTCGGCCTTGACCCTTGTACACCAGGCCCAGAAGTTGGGGATGGTGTTGCCAGACTGGACCTTGCGCTGAGCTGCCTCCTGTGCCTGGTATGGACCTGGCCACAGGGTCCTCAGCCCTTGAGGAGGGTGGCTTGTGTGTAGCCCACACTGCCTGCTCTTTTCCCCATTGGCCTCTTCACCTCCTAAGATAAGAGACAGGACCTCAGAAGCCAAAGGCACTGCTGGGCATCTTGGCCTTGATCCTGGGTTTCCCATTCAAGGTGGATGTTGGTGTTCTTGGTGAGGTTAACAGGGTGGCCTTGTTCTAAGCCACTGAGTCCTTGTTGCTGAGGGTGCCCCTGGACAGTTGTCCTGTGTTGCCTTGAGGCTGCTGCAGATATTCCCCACGCTTTGCTCTTGGTACTTATACAAGGTCTGGCCGACTGGCCTGGGCTCAGGGTCTTCTGCCCAGGAGGAGACCCTGGCTGCCAGAACCCTGTTCCTCCTCCAACACCTATAGTGTCTTCTCTCTGGAAGGCCAGGGGCCAGCTTCTGTACTCATTTAGTGTGGGGCTAATGCCTGAGGCTGTGTTTGAACTGCAGACTATGGGCCACCCTGGCTCACCATAGCCTTGGTTAGTGGGTCAGCCAGCACCTGACCTTACTCCTCCTAGCCTGGGCCTCACTCTGGGAATCCTCAGCTCCTGAAACCAGCATTTCACATACAAGGTACTTTGAAGTCATTTCATTCTCAATATTTGTATTTTAATTTTTATATTTAAAAGTGGCATATGAATATAGCCACGACCCAGAATGAGGTACGAACTCTCACTGCCTAGGAGTTCCCTGCATAGCACCAGGGAAGGTGGAACCTGCCCTGCCCCCTCTGCTCAACTGAAAGAGCCATGCTAGGAGAGCGTGTCTCCACCCTGGCTGAGGTCGTGCTTGGAGTCCTGTCCCTGCCCCAGGCTACAGCAGAAGGACTTTGTTTTCTCAGCTCCCAATCCTGGCCAAGTTTTCTGAGCACCTCTTACTCTTTTTTAGCACTTCTGGTTGCAGCCAGAATGCATGATTTCCGGAGAACTGTCAAAGAAGTCATCAGTGTGGTCAAAGTGTGTGAGTCCACGCTGCGGAAGAGGTGAGGCACTTCAGCTTGTGGTGTCGGTGGTCACAGGAGCTAGGCTGCTTGTTGGAGTTGCTGCTACTGTCCTCTGGGGTCTCCCTGCTCCGTGGAGGCACTCTCTCTTCGATCCCAGAATCTGCTAGGTTAAGTCAAGGTGGAGCTTGGTTTTAGCGGGGCCCTGTCTTCCACCCCGTGTCTAAGCTGAGTTCACCTGAAGCATGGTTTGTGGAGGTGTTTTGAGTCACAGTTGCCAGGCAGCCAGCCGAAAGCTACTCTGATCTGCCGTTCGTAGCCTCTGCTGCCTGCTCAGTGTGGCCCATCCTGGCCTGAGCGCCTGCGAGGCCTGTCTCCCTGTGGGAAGTTGGGGTCAAAAGCTACCCCTTTATTCAACCAATGGTACATCCAGCAGGTGGGCATGGGCTGGGGCCTGGCATTCTGCGATGGCAGTATTAAGGGCTGCTCACAGCTCCCTTGACTGACCTTGATGCTGGTAGGCATGTAATTGCTGCTGTGTTTGTCACCAGTCTCAGCCACCTGATGCTGAGGTGTGCTTCAGATGAGACAATCCCCACAGCAATTTCCAGAAGCAGGTGGGAAGTCATCTTGCATTAAGTATTCCACTTCTAATTTTTTAAAAAAATAATTTAATTAAACGTTCTGAAGATGATAGAAAACATATAAGAATTAAGCATTAGCTGGTCACAGAAGTGCAGAATCCCCGCCTGAGACACTAGGCAGATGGAGACTCTGACCTGCTTCCCTCCTTGTGCAGCGTTCCTGTGTCTTCTGGCCAGGCCCCGGGGTGTATGTATGGAGGCCTCGAGGACATGTGGGCCTTCTCCCAGAGACCTGGTGGGGACTCGGAAGCTGCAGCAAGGGACTGGTCCTGTGCTACTGGTGGTGTGACCAGGGTCTGTGGAGGCCTCTTCTTGTAGATCAGTTTCAAATAGGTTTTCAGGGCATTGGCTCCATTTTACTTCCCCATTTTAGGCTCACGGAATTTGAAGACACCCCAACCAGTCAGCTGACCATTGACGAGTTTATGAAGATTGACTTGGAGGAAGAATGTGACCCCCCCTCATATACAGCTGGACAGAGAAAGCTACGGATGAAGCAGGTAGCACCAGCCCTTCTGCCTCCCCCATAGCTCCTGGGCTTCTGAGAGCATTTGAGCTCTGACATGTCACATCCGAGTGTTGATTCCAGATGTGTGTGTAGCTGACTAGGCTAAACTTGGTCTACTCCTGGAGCAGGCTAACTTTGTTGGGCCTTGAGAACCAGGAGTTCTTGGGGCACGCTGCTCTGTACAGGGCCTCCCTCCCCTCAGCTGTGCTTCTGTGGGGCTGCCTCCACAACGTGGCAGTGACAGGGCCTCCACGGTAGCGCTTGGAGTGCACCAGAGCCTGAGTGCTGCCCGCCTACAGCTTACCCTCATTGTGTTGTCCTTTTCCCACATGGCTTCCTCTTGCACCAGGGCCGCGCCCAGAGGGTAGGAGTGGGGGTGGAGGTGGACACAGGCAGCTGAACCTGGGGCAGTGTATGGGGGTGCACCTGCCTGGAGACAGACTTGGCCCTTCCGTCAGGCCTGGCGTGGGTGAGGCATCATTGCCAGTTGTCCAGGAGAGCTCTGTCTTTCTGGGCCAGTTGTAATGTGATTCTGCCTGCCCTCCCTGGGGCTGTTCCTATGGCCTGGTGCGGTGAGGCTTACCAGCATTTGACTCTTCTCTTTCAGCTTGAACAGGTCCTGTCAAAAAAACTGGAGGAAGTTGAAGGTAACCGACCAGACTTCCCGTGCATGTTTTAGTTTTGTTGGAAAACGTAACTTGTGTTTACCTTTGGCTTGTAATTGTAATTGACTCCTTTAGGTGAAATATCCAGTTACCAGGATGCCATTGAGATTGAACTAGAAAATAGCCGACCAAAGGCAAAGGGGGCCCTCGCCAACCTGTCAAAAGATGGTGAGTCTCACCCTCTCTCCTTGTCCTGGAGGACTCTGGGCCAGCACCCCAGAGACCTCTTCCTCTTCTGATCCTGGACCCCACCGCTCCTGCTGCCCCTTCCATGGCCACATGGTCCTTCTTCCATCCCAGGCTGCTGGTCCCCTGGTCCTGACATAATTGTGCCGGGTACCAGCTACTTTCTGAACACCCATCAGCAGCCACGTCCCCCAGCAGCCTCTCAGCACCCAATCTCTATTCCCTAGTTCCTGCAGGCCAGCCTCCTGCTTCTGCGCCTCAGCTGCCCCTGCAGGCCCCTCAGGGTCACTGTTCTCACTCTTGGCTAGGCAGCGCCTGTGAGAGAGAGACAGCCCTGCAGTGAGTGGCCCCAGCCCCACAGCCGCCTCTCCCTGCTCCTCCTTGCTGCCCACTCTGGCTACACATGCAGTGCTAAAGCCTGGCTGTGGCATGGGTGCTGCTCAGTGCCTATCTTCTCCTGCTGTGCCCTGCCCCTGGTCCCCTGTGTCCAGGGTCTGTCTGAGGTGTTTGTGTTGCTAGATGGACCTGTCTCCCAGGCCAGGCAGAGATGGAGGAGTGCTCAGCTGCCCTTTGCAGCATCTGGTCCACAGTGGGATATACAGCACCTTAGTCCCTGTGCCACCTCCCATACCTTGGGTTTGGGGCTTGTGGTGCCACCCACGCCAGCAAGGCCAGGTCTCTGTTCTCTTGGAGATCTCTGCTTATTGAAGCCAGAACCACGTGTGGCACCAGCAACTACCTTGCCAGGTGTGTGGGGTCTGAGAGGAAGGCGGCATGCCCACAGGTCCCTGGTGTGCGCAGACACTGGCTTGTGCTGTGGCTGAGCTGTGAGACCAGCTGTCTCCTCCCAGTCCTGCTCCGCTTTGTCAGGAAGCTTGTGTAAGCCACTGTCCCTGTCTTTCCCTCAGGACCTCCCCTGAGAACAAGCACTTCCTCCCCTCTGACCCTCTGCTCCATGTGCTGAAGCCTGTGACATCCCTTCCTCCAGGCCTCTGCCTTCACTGGCTGCCCAAGTGGCCTCCCTCTCATTTCCATGGGTGCTCACTGCTGGCAAACAGTGCCCATTTCTGGGTGTTTGCTTTGTTCTCCTACATGGTAGGAATTCTGTAGTTGCTTTTAGTTGTTTTCCAGTTATCATTGGGTTTTCTAAGTAATTATGTCCCCACATACAGAAACCTTCTGTTGTACTTTACCGGTTCTAATGTCCTGAATTTCTTTCTTGGATCTGGTCTGTTGCCTGGCGTGGCAGCACCTTGTTGAATCTTGGTGTCAGGAACAGGCATGTCTCCACCGCCAGCACCAGGGACCAGGTTTTGTGCTTTCAGCAAGATAGTGGCTCATGTTAAGGGAATGGCCACCTATGCGCCTTGGTGAAGCATTTTTATCCACAGCCAGTCTGTGTTCAAATGTCCTCGGGTCAGTGGAAACTGCTCCTCTGTGATTGCTGGATGCACCATCTTCTTGAATGTCCCCCCTTTCCTGGTCCCTGGGAGGCACCACTTGGCTGCAGTAGTTGCCTTATCCACTTGTAGAGTTGAGCAAAGTTGTGTCTTAAGTATTTTTGTTTGTTCCATGGTTTCCTTTTTCACCATTTCTTACTTTACACTTTGGTTTTCTGGGTGCTTTCCTGGCTGGGTCGTTGATTCCCAGAAGCCAGCCTTTTCGTTACTTCCCGGTTTTGCTGCCTGTTTGCTGTGTTGGTAGCTGCTGCCATTACCCTCTTCCTTCTTTCCAGCGCCCTTGCTGTGCCCTCCCCGTCACCTGCCTGCCTACCTGTGGCATCTGTGGCTGCAACAGATCCTCTGAGCACTGTCGTCGGAGAATGTCTCATTTTCTCAGTCTCAGGTTGTTGGTTCTTCATGTGTGAGGAAGCTTTGGAGGCTCTGGGGTGGGTGTCTTGTGGCTTTGGTGTAACATCTGCTTTCCTGGCATCTTAACCAGGGCGTGTGCTGATATGTTTGCCCTTGGTGAAGCGTCCTAGGACATGTGATAGCCCTAGTCACCTGGGAAGCAGGCACCCCACATTTTGGCTGGCAGGCTGGCTGGACCTGTCATGCTTTTGCTCTCCATGCACATGCAAACAGTGCCCATGGCTCGAGTTGCCTGGGCTTCTGGGCCTCACTGTCATCTGCTCAGTGGCCTCTCTCACACACAAAGGTGGCCACTGCCTGCTGCTGCTGCTGTGACACGAAGGTTTGTCTTCTGCCCGTGACACCTGGCCTTGCCCAGGTTGGAGGCCAGCCCTGGGGGCGATGGTCGCTTCATCCTGCTTGTCAGGTGATCTTAATGCTTCCAAGATCCATTTCATCGGCATTCTGTAGATTCTGCTTTTCCGGCCCACATCTAAGATATTTTTCCCTGACCCTTTGCCCACCTGGGGATTTTTCTTACACCATGAAGACCTGGCGTGGCTGTTTGCTCCAACCTGAAAAGCCTGGTTTCTCCTGGTAGTGGAAGGAAGCCCATTTGATTGTTGATAATTCTTTCCACATGGCACTCTCTGAACTTGGTCTGGGTTCTGTTCCTGCTGTTCTCTAGGTAGTGTCTCCTTCCTCTGTCTCTTGGGCTGTGTCTGATCACATTGCCTCAACCATGACAAAACCCTCCTTGCTGTTTGCTTCCTGTGAGGCACAGCAGGAGGCCGGTGAGGCCAGAGCGGGCACTGGCCAGTCAGGCCAGAGCGAGGCTTCCTGGCTCAGGCCCTGCAGACTGCAGTAGGACTGTGGTTTCTGCTGGGCCCCGAGCCACTAAGGGCCTGAGAGCAAAGGGGTTGGGGCTGGGTTTACTGCCGTGTGGGGAGGTGGGACTTCTCTGGAGGTACTTTGGGGTATATGGTGGCCTCTGCGGGGTCCTGGCTAGCTCCACTGGGGAAGGGAGACTTAAAGGTCAGTACAGAGCTGTGTGCAGCAGGCTGTCTAGAAGGCTCGTCTCCCCTGTGGTCTCCCTGCTCTCTGGAGACCCAGCTCTTCCCTAGGAACCCTGTGAAGGTAGGGCCCTCCTGTGACGTGCAGTGCTAAATGTGGCTCTAAGAGCTTGCGCACCATCTGACACTGTCTCGTGTAGGAGGAGGTACAATTGGCACACATCAGTCTGCACATGTAAGGCTTGCCCTTTGGCCTTTGAGCTTTGACACCTGCACACGCCTGTGAAGCTGCAGCACAGGGCGAGTCAGACCTGTCAGTGCAGAAGTGTTCTTCGGCCCTTGCCACGTGACCTCACCTTCCTCTGCAGGCCACCACTGACTGTTCTCAGTCACCCGTTCAGTTGGTTTTCTAGATTTATGCAAAAGTCTTTTATGTACATAATGCTTGCTCTTTTTATCTCTCTGGCTTTTTCCCTTTAGTGTAATTATTTCGAACAATCCACTGATAATTTATTCTTTTTTGTTGTGCTGTAATAGGCTGTGAATATACTTGATGTTGTTCATTCATTTGTCTGTTGAAGGATATTTGGGTTATTTTCTGTTTTAGACCATTACAAATAAAGCTCTTTGGCTGGGTGCAGTGGCACACGCCCGGAATCCCAGTGACTTGGGAGGCTGAGGTGGGAGGATGGCAAGTTGGAGGCCAGCCTGGGTAACTTAGCAAGGCCCTGTCTCAAAATAAAATGGAAAGGGTTAGCTCAGTGGTAAAGCAACCCGGGTTCTATCACCAGCACTAAGAGAAAAAAAAAACACCCACTATGAGCAAACCACCATGAGCCCCGTGCAGTCGGCAAGGGCACTGCTGTCTTCTATCATGGGCGAGGGGCGCAGGGGCTGTTTCTGGGTAAGGCTTTGAGTCTCTAGGAAGTGGCCATGCTGTCCCGTGGTGCATTGTGGCTTATCCACCAGCGATGTGTGTGAGCTCCAGGGGCTCTGTCCCCTGACCTTGTGTCCCATCTCATCAGCGTCCAGTTGTGCTAATGGGTGTGTTGGTGCTGTGGTGGCTCCCTGTGGTTCAATGTGCGTGTCCTGGCGATGTCACCCTGACCCCGATGTCCTGCCTGCTGAAGTGCCCATCTGGCTCCTGTACCTGCTTCCCCCTTGGGCCAAGCTTCCCGTGGAGTTTGGACTCAGTGCCTGGACGAGCTGCCCGTGTCTGTGCAGCGGCTCTGTGGAGAAGCCCGAGGTTGTCTTGCCTGGCGGCATCTTCCGAGGGCAGGTGATCTTAACGCTTCCAAGATCCATTTCATTGGCATTCTGTGGATTCTGCTTTTCCAGCCCACATCTAAGATATTTTTCCCTGACCCAAGGTTACAAACATTTTGTTGTTTTTCTGAAGCACTTAAACTTGGGCCTGCAGCCCATTTCCAGTGAGCTTTTTTGCATGAGGTGCGGTCACTTGGGCATCCCCAGCGCTATTTGTTGGCGGGACCCTTCTTCCTCTGTTGCAGAAAAGGGCATGTTTTTGTGAAGGTGTTTGTTTTTCAGTTGTTTTGCAGCTTGGCAAAGGCGTCACAGAATTGGGTCTCTGGCTTTTGCCTGGCTGACAGGTTGCATGTGAATTGTGTCCCTAGGCTCTGCTGAGGACACTACATCCAGCCTTTTTGGTGAGGAGGACATCGAGGATGAGGAGCTAGAGGCGGCAGCTAGCCACATGAACAAGGACTTCTACAGGGAGCTCCTGGGTGGCGGAAGTGGCAGCTCAGAGGCAGCAGAAAGCCCTGAGGAGGGCAGCAGAGCCCTGGCCTTGGAGTCCCTGCTTGGCCCCCTGCCCACAGCGGCTAGCCTGGGCATCTCAGACTCCATACGCGAGTGTATCTCTGCCCCGAGCCGGGACCCTGGTGAGTGCCCTGGTGAGTGCCCTGGGAGGGGCAGGTGGTGTTCCCAGTCTGCCTGACCCCTTCCATGGAGCGAATGGGAAGCCACTGTGGTCTCTAGGAGAAGCAGCATTCTGGAAGGGTGGGCCGAGGGCACACTACGGCCCGTGCCCAGGGCTGTGTGGAGAAGAACTGGGTGTGCGCGTCACCCACAGTGTAGCAGGTCCTGTCACTGTGTCTTCCGTAGCCTCCCCTGCCCCACGGCCTTGGCTGGCTTGCTGCCCGGGGCCCTGGGCTTGAGTGGCTGCTGTGTGACAGAAAGGGGCGTTGGCAGGGACCAGTTGCTCACCCCTCCTTTCTTATTTCCATGGTGGTGGGAAAGCTTGGCCTGGAGGGTGGGCTTCACTGTTGGGAGCATTGCCTGTTGAGTTTGAACAAGACAGTGATGAGGTACCTGAGCAGGACAGGTGCCTTCTGCCCAGGGCACCTGGTCCCTGTGGCTCTTTTCCTTCCAGGTTGGTGTGTGAGATGGGACTGGGGTGCTAGTAGCCCCATTTCTGCAGGACAGGCTACCCAGGCAGCATGTTGCCCTCAAACCCTGCCTTCTCTTCAGGAAAAATGCTCTGTCATAAGGTGTGGATTGCATGACCTCAGGCAGGGATGACACATGATCCTGTAGCAGGGATGACACGTGAGGGTACCTGGGCAGGTCACAGCACCAGGCAGAGGGCATATACAAAGGCCCTGAGGCAGCAGGGGCCCAGTGATCTGGAGTAGGAAGAGACTGCTGTGTGACAGAAAAAGCAAGAGAGAGGGGGAGCAGACCAGAACAGAGGCCTCAAGGGCTGGCCTGAGATCACCCAGACGACTGGCTTGTGGCCAGAGCTGACAGCCTCCTGTGGGGATACTGAGCAAGGGCCTGCCTGCCAGGCGGTGCAGCCTGCCTTTGACCATGCTGGGGCAAGAGGCCTGGACTTCTGGACTCATATAACGTGTCTGCCCTCAGTCCTGTGACCCAGCTGAGGGGCACCAGCATGCCCAGCCCCACCTTCTGGCCACACTCCCACCCGGCCTTCCCCAGCAGCGTCTCGCCTGGTCCTGGCGCTGGGCCAGAGAGCCGGTATCCCCGTCGGAAGAACTCCTCCCTCTCACCAGGTGCGGGCGTGTGGGTCTTCTTTGCAGCTTGGGTTTGGTGTCCTGCTTTCTCAGTTAGCACTCTGACATGAGCACTGTCCCCATAGCACTTAAAGACAGGCCTGTGGCCTGCAGGATGGAGGAGGTGGGGCTCCCAGAAGCTCCTCCACCCAGGCCTGAGTCCGAAACCAGCCCAGTGGTGTCTGTGCTCCTCTAGCAGGGCCACCCTGAGCAAAACTGACGTGACCCTTCCCTCTAGAAGACACCTCGGGGGACGGGGAGCTGGACCTCAGTGGCATCGATGACCTGGAGATCGACAGAGTGAGCCACCGCTGCCCTGGGCTACAGGAGGTGGTTGGGCTCTGAGGGGGGTGGTCTCCAGGCTCCAGCGCAGGAGGCCTGCATTTTGGGATCTTTGGGCCTGGTGGTTTCCCTGGGCATCCTTAGACACTCCCTGGTGGAAGGATGGTCTTGGGTAGTGCCCACACCCACGGTCCTGTCTCCAGACTCCTCCTCCCAGCCTGTTCCAGCCTCAGTTGCCACAAGCCCTCCCTCTGAAGCCAGGGCCCTGAGCTCTGCCTCTGTTCTCTGCCACCACCCACTCACCCTATTGGGGTGGCCTTAGTCCAGGAGGACGCCCATAGAGGCATGCACATCGCACACCTCCGATCCCAAACCCTGGGTCCAGGTGTGTGCCCCGACTTTGATTTGTCTCAGTGGTGTCCATTCTCCCATATTTCTCTCTGACTTTATTGCCACATGAGGCCTGAGCCTGTCCATTTGTTCCTGTGTTGGAATTGTACACCCTTATCTCCCTTCCTGGGACCTATGGCCTGCACTCTGGAGTCAGCAGGGCTACAGACTGCCCTAGAGTCTAGGAGCCCTGGACACTGCTCCATGGCTCAGTTTGTGGCTTCAGAAAGGGCAGAGGAACGATAGACAGCTTCCATGCTGAGTAGCGGCCCGTCGTGTGTTCCCTCCCTTTGATGATTCAAACATGCGAAGGGAAGTGTGTTCCGTTTGGGAGATCTTAGGGACCTCTCATAGTGTGGGGTCCCCAGCTGAGCACCTTCACTGTGCTGTGCAGTATATCCTGAATGAATCGGAGGCCCGAGTGAAGGCTGAACTGTGGATGCGGGAGAATGCCGAGTACCTGCGGGAGCAGAGGGGTAAGCGCCCACCTGCCCTCCTGCCTGCCTGCCTGGGCCTGGGGGCTTCAGGGGCTTGGCCTCACTGATGCCAGCCATTCTGCTCAACTGTTTATAGAGAAAGAAGCAAGAATAGCCAAGGAGAAGGAGCTCGGCATCTACAAGGAGCACAAGGTAGGCACCCCAAGTGGGCCAGGGAGCCAGAGACTTCTGACGGGAAGAGACAACTCTGGAGCACGGCCTTCCCTGGCACAGGGCCAAGGCCAGGGCAGGCAGTGGCAGTGGGGTGCTCTAGATCCACTTCCCCGCTGGTCTTTGGCTCCACTGTGGATGCACGTGCCACTCGGCTTTGGGGCGAGGTTCCTTGAGGCTGCTTCTCATTGAGGACATTCATTTTCTTTATGCCCTGGGGAGGTCTGACTGACGGCCCCCTGAGTGGCTGGCCTCTGTGGCGGTACCCCCGAGTGCCTGGCCTCTGTGGCCGTGCGGCTCAGCTCTTGGGCAGCAGCTCGTCCTCCACTTGATGATTTTGGAAGGGGTTCAGCCTCTTGAGTGTCTGAGCAAGAGGAAGGATGGGAGTCTGGACTCTTGCTGGCCAGACTGAACTCAGGACCCAGAGGAGGTGGAGAGGACAGGTGGAACCTGCCTTTCAGGAGGATCCCTGAAACTTGAGTTGGGACGTTGAGGGCCCAACAACCTCCTCACCAACAGCATGCCCATGTTCTGCTGAGCACTTGCCTTTTTTCTCCACCAGGGGTGACCACACTAGGGAGGTCATTGTGGTGGCAGGTTGTATAAGCTCAGCATCACCATGGTGTCTTGAGCCAGCTGGTAGGGCTTGCCCAGTGCAGGCTATGTGTCCCAAGGAGCCCCAGTGTCACAGGATATGATCATAGGTTGCAGGACAGCAACTCACAAGGGGAAATACTTTTGTGTTTCAACCAAGCCCAAGAAGTCTTGCAAACGTCGGGAACCCATCCAGGCCAGCACAGCGGGGGAAGCCATTGAAAAGATGCTGGAGCAGAAGAAGATCTCCAGCAAGATCAACTACAGCGTGCTCCGTGACCTCAACAGCAAGGGTGGGCGCAGCCCACAGAACGAAGACGCACGGCCTGCAGAGAGGGCCAGCTCCAAGAAGCTGTCACGGAGGAGAACTGCAGCCAGCAGGAACAGGGCTGACCCTGGGACCAGCATAGGGAAGAGGTACTGTCCTGTCCCCTCCTCTGGGCTGCAATGCACCAGCCGGGTCCACAGGAGAGTCCAGGAGCTGCACTGTCCCGCCGTGTCTGGAAGCCGACTTGCTGCCTCCTGGTGGGGGGAGACTGTCCTGGCTCCCCGTGCCTCGGGCCCTGGGCTGATCAGGCACCAGCGGCATCAGGGTCTGTGCCATCTGGAGAAAGCAGTGGGCTCCCTGGCCCGGATGAGTCCACGTGGGCCAGCCCCAGCCTGTCCACACCCTCTGCAGCTGTGCAGCCACGGGGGAGAGGTGTGGGCCCGCTGCGCTCCACCCCTGGGGTATGGTGGAGGGGAGGGGAACAGCAGCCATAGCAGCACCTTCCTGTGGGGTCAGGACTAGTTGAATGCCAGAGGGTGCTGTGGTCTCGAGCTGTGCCATGGGGTGGCTGAGCTGCACATGGCCCTGCTGTGCCAGGGTCCCCTGACAGGGGCCCAGGGTGCTGGTTGGAGCCTTCCCCTGGCTATGAAGATGGGCTGGGCACCCAGCGCAGCCGTACCTGCCTGCCCCCAGGCCTCCCTGGGTTGCCTCTGCCTTCTCTATTGTTGCTCTTTTTTTTTTTTTTAATATTTATTTTTTAGTTGTAGTTGGACACAATACCTGTATTTTGTTTGTTTATTTTTATGTGGTGCTGAGGATGGAACCCAGGACCTCACCCGTGCTAGGCGAGGGCTCTACCGCTGAGCCCCAGCCCAGCCCAGCCCAGCCCCTGTTGTGGCTCTTTTTAACCATGAGTCACGAGGAGGTGCCTTCTCCCCTCTGCCCCTGTGCCTGTTACGTGGCTTCCCTCTTGGTGGCGAAGCATCTCTGTTTACCCGTCCATTCATTTGACACTTCTAGGGTCGGTGTTGTGTCCAGAACAGCCTTTTCTTTGTCCAGGTTGTGAGGAGATCTCTTTTGGGGTTGGTTTGTTTTGTCCTAAGTTTCTGATCCATCTGGACCTATTTTAGCATGAGGATTGGGGTGAGATCTGCGAGACTCTGGGTGGCTGGCCGTTGATAGGAGGTGCTCTCCCAGGGACCCTTCCTGGGTTGGCTGGCTATCCTGGCCATGTGGGTGTCAACAATCTCCCTCAGCACCTGCTTGCCCAGCTGTGGGTCCATCTCAGGAGAGTGTTCTTTGTGGACTGTTTATTTTTTCCTAGAACTTAAAGGAGATGTCTAGACCTGACCTTTTCCTACTGGCAGTGTGACCATCTTGCTGGTGGGGATGTTCTTATGGGTTTTGTCTTCCTCAGCTGGGGACACAGGGATCCCGGGGTCCCCTGGAGTCCCAGGCCCGTGCTTGCTCCTCCTGCTGTGGTTGCCTGCCATGGAGTTGCTTAGATGAAAAACACTTGCCTCCTGGGTCCCTGGTGCTCCCAGCAGCCTCACTGGTCTGCAGGTTAGGGGCCTTCCATGGCCTCTGAGTCCCAGTGTGGGCTCCAGACCCCTGCTCCTCCACCGGCTGGCTGGCTGTGTGGCTGCTTGAGGCAGCAGCTTCCTGAATGGACCTTGAATTTTCTCAACTGACCTTTCAGCCTGTCTGTGGCCATGTGATCTCTGCCTTCAGGTGTCCAGGTGTCAAGTCTTGAACACGGATTCCCAGTGCAGCCCTCTACCAGTGCAGCAAGCTGGGACTGGGTGGGGGCAGAGGCCGAGGCCCGCCCATCCTTGCTGTCACTCAGTCTGGCCTCAGCATTGGTCTGTGTCTCATTGCTATTGCTTTGACAGTGCTGGAGATTGAACAGCTGCAGCTGGGAAGCAGGGGTTCAGAGAGGCTGTGGACCCTACCTGAGCCTCCCTCTGGCCAGGTCATCAGGGAAAGTCCTGTTCTAGTGTGTGATTCTGGCACCATCTGCAAGCTGTCTGACGCCAGCCTGAGAGGCCCCACGTCCCTGTTCACTTGTGCTTCCTGAACAAAAAGCTGCCAGCCTTCCCCTGAGTGGCCAGGATCAGAGTATATGAATATCAGATGTCCACATCTGCCTCCACCCTACCCAGCTGTGGCTATGCAGCTCAGGCAGCTCCCACAGGGCAGGGAAAAATCCCACTGGCCTCCAGGGTGCCAATGTGCCCTCAGCCCTTGGCGGCTTTGCCCTCCATGCTCAGCATTGAGGGGAGAGTGCACAGGCTGTGGCTGAGGTCTGGCCAGGAGCCGCAGGGCTGTAGCAGCTACGCACAGGGCTCTGCCTCCTGCCAGGGGATGGCCCAGCCCAGCACCACTGGCCCCACTGCAGGGCCAGCAAGAACCTGGTTAGTTCACCCTGCAGGGCTGCTATGCTCAGCTACTTGGCCACAAGGTTTGGACTGCTGGGCGCTTCTGGGTGGGGTGGGGAAGGGCCTGGAAGAATTGATGGGCTCGGAGGAAGCATGACCGACAGCCTGCAGGAGGGCATCCTACCAGACATTGAACTGAAAAGGCCCCAGATGTGATGGCTTTGTCCTCCCCAGGGCCCTGCTCTGGATCAGGCAGCTCCTGCCTCCTTTCCTGAGTGCCTGCAGCCCCAGGATGGCAGTGCCATGGCTGCCCTGCCTGTCACTGTCTGGTCAGCTGCTCCCAGTCCTGGGCTGGTGTGTGCTCCCCCCCCCCCCCCGAGCCAGTCGGGAGATACTGAGTGGGGCTGCTCTGACCCGCATGTCCTTCCTGCCCAGGTCAGCTGCCTTGGGTCCAGGCCTCTGCTCACAGGCTCAGGCCAGACAGTGGAGCTAGTGTGGTATCCGGCTCCCAGCCCTGCAGGTGTCAGGTGGGAGGTGTCCCCCCCAGCACATAGCCCACTGCCTGGGCAGATGGGCTTGGCTGTCACCCTCAGTCTTGCTGTGTTTGGGGAATTCACTGTGGCATTTGCTGTTGAGACTGAGAGGTTCCCAGCTGAAGTGGTGGTGGGTTTGGGGGCAGCCATCTGCTGGTGGCCCCAGGTCCCTGGACCTCTGGCTGACTGGGGACCAATCTGGCAGGAGGGAATGCTAGGCAGGACCTTGTTCTCCAGGTGCTTATAAACCCTTCTGTGCCTGGCTGGCAACCTTAGTTCCACCTGGATCACACTGATGGCTGCTGGGTGGTTTTTGTGATGTCCACCTATTCCAGAACCCCTTCCCAGTGCCCCCAGGTTCACCCAGCATGTCTTAGCTCACAGGGCTAGGCCTCAGAGGGCCCCCAGCAGATGGAGTGGCTGCAGTCCTCTATTCCCCCACTGCTATGTCCTGGAGGGAGTGGCTCCACCCCCTCTGTCCTACTGCTACAGGCCCAGAGCCTATGTATGCCAGCCTGGGTGGTACTGTGTGGCCAGGGTTAGGGATCAACACGTGCCTTCTCTCCTGGGGACCCCATCTTTCCCTCCGAGAAGCCTTCAGTGTCAAAGTGCATTTGTGTTTGGAGGGTTTGAGGACAGAGGGCAGTGCAGGGTGCTGCTAGCAGAAGTCATGGGGCTACTACTGTAGACCATGTGGGGCATTTGGCAGGTACTTAGAGCACCTCCCCTGTCCTTCCTCATCTTCCTCCTCTCCTCTGTCTCCTCTTCTCCTCCTCCAGAGACTTGTGATTAACCAGGGGAGTGTCACAGGGAGAAATGGACAGGGTCCACATGGCTCCTGCCCATGTCTCTCATGTATTTCTCCATAACCACCCAGAGCCTCTCCACCTGCCCCACTTGCAGTCAGGAAGTGGGGTGGCCTCTGGCTTGCATTTTGGTGTCATGTGCATGGTTCACCCATTGATTAATGCAGACACATATAGCAGTCCAGTCTTAGGATCAACACAGCTGGACTTCTAGGAGCGGCAGAGAAGCTGGAGCACCTAGCGGAAACAAGGAAGGAGCAAGGGGGTCCAGGTCAGCAGGGGGCCTGCGGGTAGAAGAGAGATTTGGAGAGGGCCAGGACAGATGTGCCAGAGTGCCCAGACCCCCAGGTCTGGTGGAGAGCCCTGTAAGGCTAGCCGTGTTGCTGGAGGCACATTCCGAAGGGAGCAGCTCCAGCCAGGGCAGCAGGCAGGACCACTGGGGTGGGTCCTTGTGTACTGAGTGGGTGCCAAGCCACGTCCTCCACCAGGTGGTGGGGGCCCTCTGAGGCAGTGAGAGCCAAAAGCAGAGCTGGCTGAGACTGCGTGCCATCTCTCTTTCAGGTTGAGGCCCCTGGTATCTATGCAGACGGCTAAGAAGGTGGCCATGGGAGAGGTGCGTTGTTCTGCCCAGCCAGGCCATTGGCCTCAGGAACAGCTCACCCGTGACCAGGTCTGATGGGAAGGGGCCCAGGGACTGCTGCTCCGACAGTGGCCTGGCACAGACAGAGAATCCTGAAGCTCAGGGGTGCCCAGGAGCAGAGCAGGAGGGAAGCGAGGGCCAGGCACAGAGCCTGGTGCACACGTCTGTACTGCCTGAGGCCAGGGCCAAGGGTGAGCCGGCCCCCACCGTGGGCGGTGTGTGGCAGTGGCCAGGGCAAGTTCTGGGGGCTGAGTGTGAGGCTTCTTTCTCACCAGAGGCAGCCTGGGTGGGGGCCTTGGGCTGGGTACTGTGCTGGTGCAGCCTATTGTACACCCCAGGAGATTAGAAGGGGCCTGTGGGTACTGGGAGCCAACAGACCCTCTGACAAGCTCTCGTAGGGGGCAGGAGCATGAGGGCCCGTCCGGGGCTATCCTGAGAGACACCAAGGTCTCTCCTATAGTCTCTCCTGTGGCCATCTCTCCACTCCCATCCTTCCAGGCTGTGCTCCCAAGTCCCCCTGCCCCGGGAGCCGAGGTGGTCAGGCCAGCAGCAGTCCTGGTGGAGAGCGGCCCTGTGTCATACCACCCCGAGGAGGACGCAGATGAGGAAGACGCAGATGAAGAGGATGGGGAGCCCTGCGTCAGCGCCCTGCAGATGATGGGCGGCAATGGTGGGTGGTGCCGCACGTGGTCAGGGGGCCTGACACAGGCACTGGGAAGGGGGGCTTCCAGAGGGATAAAGGCACAAACCTTCTGCCCCTGGTGATCCCCGAACACAAGCCTTTGGCTTCATACTAAATTTTTCTCTGAAAAGAAGGGAATTTGTATGAAGACAGCATAAACTGGCCATATTGATTCTGAGGCCCTGGGACATGTTAGAAGAGCTGGCCAGGGCCTAAGAGGCCAATTCCATGGGGACAGCAAGGCACCTGCTGTGAAGGCCATGGTCTGGGCTTGACTGGAGTCACTGGGGAGGCTGACCATCCAGCAGATGGGGTTTCTAGGCCTGACAGGTGGACAGACGTGTGCACTCAAGGGTGGGAGGTGTGGCTGGCCAAACTGCGGACACCTGTCCAGTCAAGAACTGAGGCTCCCACACTGGGCACACACCAACACCCCCAACCCCAAGATAAGATAGTCCCCACAGTGGTGGGACTGGTCCTGCAGCCTCAGGGAGCAGCTCCCTGAGGGCAGCGAGGGCTGTGAGCTTCCATAGTCGCCCTCTGTGCTTTGCAGATTACGGCTGTGACGGTGATGATGATGAAGGCTACTGAGTGTGACCTCAAGGCCAGGCAGCATCCTGGCTCTGGAGCCTGATTGTGTCTCATGGGGATTGGATGCCCTCTGGGGCCACTGTTTGTAGGCACGAATGCCAAGACTAGGGACCAGCCGAACACTGCCCTGCTTGCTTCGAAGCCCTCATCCCATGGCCACACGTGGCCTCCATGGTACTGTTGGGATCATGTTTTGAGCAAAGTAAGGAATATTTCTACCCAGCAAGGAAAACCATACTGACTATCTGCGTGTGTCTGATTGGACATGGTTGGGAGTATCCAAGGCCTTTGTCCCATGGTGTGTCCCAGCTTCCCACTCATTGACTACCCAAGAGCACTCAAAAGCAGGCACAGCGTGTCCCTGTTGTAAGAAAACTGAGGCACAAGGAGGCCTTGCTTCTCGTCAAGCCAGTGGAGGGTCAGGTGGGTCCAACCCTGTGGCTCTAGCACCTGTTCTTGGCTGGTGGCCCAAGTGCTTTCCCCTCCCATCATCCCCCAGAGGCACTATGCTCCCAGTTCCCTGTGGAGCTTGGTGTTCTGGGGCAGCAGGGAGCAGGCAGCTGTGGCTGGTTCCTCCCTCCCTCAGAGGCTCTCAGGCTCCCTGAGGTTCAGGAATGCCCACCGCCCAGCCAGCTCAGGCACCAGCACACTGGGACCCTGTGTGGGCTTGTGGGGTTTGCACCAGGAGTCTCTGCCGCAGTCAGAGGGCAGCTGGTCGAGCTCGTCTGGCAGTGCAGGCCTCTGCATCTGCACGCCCTCCCTGCCAATGCCAGCATGGCCTGTGTGGGGTGCGGGGCCTGGCCTACCCATCACATGCAGGGCCGTTTACCTCCTGTCTGAGCCAGGCCCAGGGGTAGGCAGCGAGTGTCAGGTTACCTGACTGGGGCACAGGTCTCGGGCCTTGCTTTCCTGGATGTGGCCCTGGAATGGAGGGCAGCCAGGTGCTTGTGCCCCAGAGTAGGCCCCTCAGGAGAGTGACTGCAATGACAGAACCATACCATACTGCCCTTCCTGGTCACCCTCTACCTCCACATGGGTGGGCTGGCTGTCCAGTGAAGGATCCAGACCCCAACTTTAGCACAGAGACTGGGTTGGGGCCTTTGAGTCCTTGCAGCCAACTGCTGTCCGTCTGCCTATACCCTGCAGCCAGTCTGGCCCCAGAGTCACTAGAAGGCTGGGGAACCAATTTGTGAAGAAAGAAAGACCTGTTACCTGAGAGATTTGGCTGAAATTGGTGTTTGTGATTCTGCAACCTACACTTCTGCCACGGGGTGGCCTGCTGGGAGCAGGCTGGGGACAAGCTCGGCACACCTAGCCCTGTTGTTCAGATGCTCCATGGGGATCCTATGGGCATGTTCTCAGCCCTGGCTGTTCTTGCTTCATAGCCACCCCTGCCTGTCAGGTCTTGTGGTCCTGGAGTGCCACTGCCTGGGCTCGGGTCAACAGCTGGGTGCCTACCACTCAACATGGCCTGTCTTGGCACTTGGCTGTGGAAGAAGACCCTGGAAGCTCTAAGGCTGCCTGAATTGGAGAGAGCATCTAGGATGCACAGTCTAAGGACCGTCCTCAAACTGTGGCAGTTGTAAGTGGGTGTATTGTGGTGCCAGGGACTGAACGGGATGAATAAGGTCCCCTTGTGGACTTCTAGCAGAGTGCAGAGCCAGAGAGCACTGGGAAGAGGGTGCACAGGGAAGACATGCTGGGGGACTGCATATCTGAGGCCTAAACTTGGAGAAGGATCACCTGGAAACACCTGTGGGTCAGAGCAGCTGGGTGGAGTAGAAGGACATGCAGGCTGCGGGCAGGGAAGGGTTCACTGTGCCTGCCCTGCAGGGAACAGATGGCCAGAGATGACAGAGCTGGGTCCAGCTAGAGAGGGAGGAGGGCTGGTGTGAGATGGCCTGGGAGGAAAGTTAACAGAGCTACCAGACCCTGTGTGGAGAGTATGGAAAATCAGAATCGAGGTGTTTCTGGGGTTGTGGCTTGAGCTATAGGGAGCTGGGGCACTCCTCGGAGACTGCCTTTGTTAGCAGTGGGCCTTCCAGAATTTGGCTTCCACATGGGCAGCTGGGTTTGGGAGGTGGGTTTCCAGGATCCACAAAGCCATGGCTAGCCATTTCTCCTCAGAAGACTGAGAGAAGGGGTTCTGAGGCAGAGCGGTGAGCTCTGGAGGCCAGGGGGGAGTGGAACTGGGGAATGTCCAGCTTGCAGGGATGTGCTGCGGGGAGGGCTTGGTGCTAGGCAGGAGGACTGCCTTGAGAGGGTGGGCGAGGAACATGGGGTCAGGGTCCCGGAATGGAGGACTTGGGTGACTGAGGCACCAAGGGGCAGGCCCCAGCAGGGCAACCGTGCAGTAGACAGTGTGTCTTTGCTGTGGTCAGAGCCCGGTGCTTTGGCTTCCGTTGGTACAAGTGTGGGGCCCCGCCCACAGGCAGTCTGGGGACCCAGCTGCATGTTCTTCCTGGAGGGATGCCACAGCCTGAAACAGGCCTGGCAGCTGTTTGGGCCCCTGGCTCGGATCTTCCCAGCATGAGGAGCAGTACCTCCTCAGGCCTCTGATCTTGGCTCTTTCTGTGGCCCCTAGACCACACAAAAGCAGTCTCAGAGGAGTGGCCTCCTTGACCCCTTTTCTGCACCGTTTCCATCCCCACCTGCCAGCAGCCCTGTGGGTGCTGCATTCTAGGCTGGGCCCCTGCCAGGTGGATACACCCAAAACGGGTCTCACTGCTTCTGTCCCTCTGCTCCCTCCTGCTGTCTGCCTGGAGGAAGCAACGCCCCAGGACTTCCCAGCTGACTGAGCTGATGCTTGGTAGCCGCGTGCCCCCAGACACGGGGCTAAGCCAGGGAAGGACTTAGTACTAGCTGGTACCCCAGGATTCCCCAGGATCCCCCAGGACCCTGGTATCTGGGGCTTTATAGATACCCAGTTTCAGAGGTGCCTAGGAATTGCTTGAAGGAGCTGGACAGTACAGTAGACCCACTTCCTCACCACAGAGTGAGAGGCGGGACACAGTGGGGCTCTGGGATACCTTGTCGCTGCTCCCCCCAGACTGCTAGGCCAAAGAGGACTTGTCTGCCTGCCCTGAGCTGGCTCCCATCCGTGCACCTCCTGGAGCCAAGGTGAGGAGGCTTCTTAGAGGCAGGCAGGGGTCACCTTCTACACATAGTTGGAGGCTGGGGCAGGAGCTCTGGCCCTTCACCTTCCCTGGGCTCCTTGGCCATGTGCATGCATTGGCTCAGAGTGAGCTCAGGGCAGACTGGTGTCACATGCCACCCTGGCACCTTGCCCATGCAGGAGCTTCCTGAAGCAGAGGTAGAAACACATCCTGCCACTAACCTGCTCTGCTGTGTGGGCGTGAGCACAGGGACCCAGCTGGACAGAGGGAGCAAACGTAGGCCTTTTGCTTTCTCCCACCCTGCCCACGTAGCTGTCTTCAGGCACTTGGTTGGGCAGCAGAAATCTTGCAGGAGACAAAGTGGGGACTCGCATCTCGAGGCAGGAGACCCCTCCCACCTGGGTGTTGCGGGGAACTTGTATGCCACTTTATCCAGGGTAGAGGAGACTCGCCCATCCAGTCTGGCCTCACTGGAGGGCACTGCTCGGAGGAAGCATGGTCCCTGTGTCCTAGCAACACCCCATAAACAGCCCAGTAGCCTCCTTGGCACTCTTCTCCAAGCTTGCAAGAGTCAGGAGGTAGCCATGGCCCTCAGGGTTGGGGGTCTGCGGGAGGCTACAAACCCCAGCACTCCTGTGTGTCTTGGAGGTTGTGCGTTGTCTAGAGTCAGGACTCTTCAGAGGCTGGCCCTGAGTCAGCTTCCTCTCCTTGCAGCCTCGGAGGGTGGTCTCTGGAGGGGAGATTTGTGGTTGTACTACTGAGTATCCTAAAAATCTCCCGGGTATGGAGGGGGCTCTGTTGCCACCGTCAGGACCCCTGGGCAGCCTCCCCCCAGCTCCCACTTGCTGGGGGTGAGAGGGCAGTGGATGCCGCAAGGACTGGGAGGCCTGGGCACTCCAGTTAGGGAAGACGGTGGGACCAAGGCAGCCCCCAGGCCCATAGGTCAGAGGTCCTCAGATGGCAGGTGGGCTGGCCTGAGGGGTGGCAGATAAGCACAGGCTGGGGCACATCTGGCAGTGGGTCTGCAAAGGGTACCCTCACCTTCCTCTGTCTCCCAACTCCTCTCTGGTTCCTGCTCCTCACTGCCGGATGTCTCACCATCAACTGTGGGCCAGCAGGGGGCGCCCCAGGATCAGCTGCGCTTTGGTGGGAGGGCACACAGCTCCTGGGGTAGCCTTCTTGCTCTAGTCCTGTGAGGTCAGAGGGCCTCTCTCCTGGCCTTGGACTCTGGGCCCTACCTCTTCCCCACTCTGGGGCACCTGCCCCATGGCCAACACCCTCCCTAGCCTCGTTAGCTGTCACAGCCACCCTGCAGAGGTGTCCTGGTCTTTTGGGGGATGCAGAGAGGGACCTATTGATTCCCTAGGTGGTGGTTTACTGAGTAGAGACTTGAACTCCACATGCTGGCCAGGCTTGGCACTGTGGAGCCACTGTCTCCCTGTGGTCATTATTTGTCCCAGTGTCCCATACTACGTGCCTGGAAGGCTAGCTTTTCCCAGGGGAGGCCTGGGTGGAACCAGACTGGCAAGGGGTGGGGGCCCAAGGTCAGGCTCCAAGACTGCAGTCAGGGCCTAAGGCCTGCCCAGGCCTTCAAAGGGGCCATGGGCGGTGGCAAAGGGCAGGCTCTTTATGGTTTTCCTGTGGGAAGAGGAACCTAGCTCAGAAAGCCATTGTCCCCACACAATGGGCCTGGCTGAGACCCATGAGGGCAAGAGCCCCAGGCTGCTGAGACCCAGCCCTAATGTCAACTGTGGGCCCAACTGGGGTCTTCATTCTGACCTTGACCTTGACCCTGGTCCATATGTAACTCTCATTCTACAATGCCCTTGGCTACCACCACCCCAACTGACCCTAGCCAGGGAGGAGTCACTAGCAGCTGAGTTGGGGGTACTCCCAAAGCAACTTTAAGGGGCCTTGGTGGAGGAGGCACCCTGCAATCAGGGCTAGCTCCAAGGTGAAGAGGGTGGAGGATTCTTAGTGTCTACAGGGCAGCAAACTGGGGCTCTTGGCTAGCCCCAATACTCATGGAGGCCTGGTGGTCTCAAAAGGTCCCTAGCTGGATCCAGGTTGGGGCAGAGGCCATGGCTAGGCAGGCCTGGCCATGCTTAGTGGGCTAGCGGCAGAGTTCACCCTGCAGATGATATGGGCATACACCTGTCCTTGGTGGCTGAGGGATCTTTGCACCAGCCCAGCAGAGTAATTGCTTCCCCTAGTTGGAGGACAGCATTGTCTGCCTCCTTTGGCTCAGAGCTCACGGTCACCCAGCACACCCCAGGTGATGACTACCATGACCTCAGCCCCACAACCTGGAGAAGCCAAACCAACCACTGCAGGGCTGCCCTGGGGTGGGCAGGCAGGTGAGCTCCACATCCTCTGGTGAGTAGAGGTGTGTGCTGGGGGCCAGAGGTTGGGCCAGGTCACATGACCATTTATAGGGAGGCATGGTGGGAGTGCTCTGCCTTCTGAAGTTACTGGACATCTGCATTAAGGGAAGTGTTGGGCTACCTTCAGTTCCTGAAAAGCAGCTCAAGGTCGCCACTACCATTGTGCCCATGTGCAGGCATATTCTGTAACAAGCCACCGGAAGCTAATCCCATAGCTACATGACGTCTGAAGCTGGTGATCAGGTGCACATGCAGGTGCAAACACATCCATATCAGCAAGCACAGGATGACGGAAAAGAGGGGCCCATTCTTCATAGTGCATGGACTCTGACCTGGGAGGTGAGGCTGGGCTGCCATCCTCCCCAGGTCACCCTGAGGTCTCACCACCTCCATCCAAGTTCCCCTCTCCTGAAAGTCCCTTAGCAGAGCACTCCCTCCAATCCCAACTGCACACAGGACTCTGGAAAATACAAGTTTCTCATCATTGTTTCATGAATCATTCTGCAAGCATTGAGAAAAACATAACACTGGCTCTGGGGCTAGAGAACAGCCAGGCCCTTGCCCTCAGGGCTCATGACCTTGAGGGACACACACACCTGAGCCTGTAGATAGACCCATGGACGCACTGTGAGGGATCCAGCACACCTGTGGGAGGCTGCAACTTGCAGCAGAGCAGTGGCCCTGCTGAGCAGCCAGGGAAGGCCCTGAGCCCATCAGA